ACGTTATCCTTGGATGAGCTGTCTGCGGCGACCGCGATCAGCAAGGACATCCTGTCCCAGGTATTGGCGTTGTTGGTGAAGGCTAAGATTCTCGTCAATGAGGAGAAGGACCAATACGATTTGAACCCTGGTTCGTGATAGGTTCCGCTCGCGCCTTCGCTTAATTGACCGATCCTTATTCTCTCTTCAGGTTTCAAGTCAAAGAAGATTCAGGTCAATTTGAATCAGCCAATCAAAGCTGAAGTGAAGGCCGAGTCTTCTGACGTCCTCAAGGCCGTCGACGAAGACAGGAAATACGTTATCCAAGCTACTATTGTTCGGTACGTACAGTTCGCACTGTGCGTTCTCCATACGCTGACGGTATTGCAGAATCATGAAAGCCCGTAAGACGATGAAAGACCAAGCCCTGATTCAAGAAGTCATTTCCCAGATCTCTCAACGTTTCGCTCCCAAGATTCCTGACATCAAAAAGGTGCAGTTCCGTTAGGCATATCAAAAAATACCCGTTCTTACATACATTCTTCCCACCAGGCCGTAGAGACCCTTTTGGAGCAGGAGTACCTGGAACGAGTTTACGGACTGAAAGACACGGTTGCCTATGTTGAATAATTCCTCCGCTCCCTTCCTCACTTGTATCGTCGCATCATCACTCATTCCTTGTACCATAATGCAATACATTAGAAAGTCGGCTGAGTCCCTGTCATATACATTACTCGCCGTAATACACTGGCCTACTACACCTTCACTCCAGACTCGATTTCTTAGGCTCCGTACCGTCTTTACTACCGGTGAGGACTGGATAGGCGGAGTCGGATAATGGTGATGAAACACAAAGCACTGGCACATACTGATGGGTTCCTTGGGGTGGAAATCTTAGGACGCGTAAGCAAGATGGAAGCTATTTCGCGAGCTTCAGCAAGAGTGCTCATGTGCTCACGGCGAAAGATGAATCCGGAAATGTTGTCACACTAGTGGCTTTCATGACAATCATGCTCACTGGCTCTGCTGAGAGCATTGGCTTCCGCGAGGGGGTCTCGAGGACGTTTGGCGGGCTCTCCGGATGTACTTGTATGATTCGTTAGGAGGGTTTGCCGGCGAGTTGAGCGTTCGTCTGATGGATCCCGTATCTCCCTTTCTTTGCTGTGGACGAATGAGGGCTGGTCTTGAGGTCTCAGCAAACAAGGTTTTTTTTTTTGGTTTCAAAGTTACTTCTGTTATTGATAGAATTACATGCCTGTGTAACGAAATGCGAATGCGAATACTTATATCTCTTTCTCATGGTCAAGCGCATATTCCAACGTCAATTTCAGTTCCTGCCATTGCCTTGCCTCCAACTCATTAGCACGGTAGCTCATATCCAGCACCGCTTGACAGTCATCTACAAATTGCTTCGCCTGGTATGTATTCCCATGCACTTTGTCAAGCACCGGATGCGAAGATTGCATTCCAGTCCCAAGCCACCACTGTTGTAGCAGCGAACATGAGCCCGAGAATGTCATCTAATGCAGCTGTAGACTATACCTTTGAATTCCAATAATCTCCTTCGCGTCTGTGCAACTGCGCGTGTAAATAATTGCTTGTCAAATTTCCATCATCGCTTTGCGCGAGCGTATGTGCACGATCGATATCATCATTAAGTAGGTGAAGGGCGCTCAGGACAGGAATAGAGTCGGATAAGGCATCAATTCGGGGCGTAAGAGAACTATCATATACATTGCTTGGCTTCAGTGAGGGTATAGGACGCGCAAGCAAGATGGAAGCTATTTCGCGAGCTTCAGCGGTCATGGATGCCGGCGGCAAGAATGCGATTGTCACGAAAGACGAATCCGGAAATGTTGTCTTTGTCACAACTGTACAGTTTCACGTGACCGTCCCATCCTCAATTATTGGACAGAACTAATTCGTTTTTTTTTGCGAAACTCAAGGGCCAACGATCGACCGGTGCCAGCAAGCATGAGGTTCGTAATCTACCTTCGTTCATTCTCGCCGTTTTCTGAACGTTTTCCAACAGTAGTAAACTTTCGGTGTCAAGCGTGCGGGGCCTTGTAAAAGATGTCCTCGCTGAAGCCAATGGCGAGAAGAAGCGGAACTTTGTCGAGACCATCGAATTACAGATTGGTCTGAAGAACTACGACCCTCAGAGGGATAAGCGTTTCAGCGGAACTGTCAAGTGCGTAGCTTGTTATTTTGCCTTAGGGGTCGCTAAGAACATGTAATCCTAGGCTCCCCAACGTTCCCCGTCCCAGGATGTCCATTTGCATTCTCGCTGATGCCGCCGACATTGATCGTGCTAAGCAGATTGAGCTCGAGTACATGTCCGTTGATGATTTGAAAAAGTGAGTGATCTGCTGGTGCTGGCACTGAACGATTTTTTTACGGATTGGGTACGTGCAGGCTTAACAAAAACAAGAAGCTTGTAAAGAAGCTCGCCAAGAAGTACGATGCTTTCTTGGCTTCTGAGACTCTTATCAAGCAAATCCCTCGTCTCTTGGGTCCCGGTTTGTCCAAGGGTTCGTTACTGACTCTTCATCTCGCGTGAACGCAGTGAGGCTAACAAATATGCAGCTGGAAAATTCCCTACACCGGTGTCGCATGCCGAAGACCTTAACAACAAGCTGACGGAGGTCCGCTCTACCATCAAGTTCCAGCTCAAGAAGGTTCTGTGTTTGGGCGTCGCCATCGGCCATATCCAAATGACCGAGGACCAAGTCCTCGCCAACGTCATGCTCAGTACGTATCCTTCCCACCCGAGGTCCCCGAACTGGGCGCTTATCCTTTTTTTTTTTCGGTAGGCATCAACTTCTTGGTGTCCCTTCTCAAGAAGAACTGGCAGAACGTCAAGTCCCTCCACATCAAGACCACCATGGGCAAGCCTGTTCGTGTCTTCTAATAAGGGAAACGAACGTGGATTTTGATTTTTTCTGAGATGGGTGGGTGGTAATGGATACGAGAAACCTGTGCGGCTGTAATGCATTCCATGAAGCCCCGCACGCTTGTACCAACGGCTTTCAGGGGAGGAAGGTCGATTGGGAGCTGATATGGTTGCACGGTTTATCGTCTCTTTATCACTCTGTTCGTCAAGATATTATTTCATGATCATCCCTTTGTCGTTAGCGTAGCAATGCTATGGGTTGCTGAAACTGAAGTTTTGAACTTGAGTATTGTTGACCCCCGGATCGATGTACGCTTCTGATGGTATCACAGAAAGTGGGGAAGACTCATCAACATTGGGTATAGCTTCGTCTCTTCTCACCGCATACGTATTCTAACCATTCCATATACCACACCACAGCCTTCATGCCGAGACAGGAAGTGGAGGAGGCTCGGGCGGTGCGGCGGTATGTAAGTCTTTGTAATATTCCCCATGGCTTTCAGATGCCGGGGTTGTAGAGGTGTGGGAGAGATAAATCACATCGAATTGGTAGGCCTGCCTCTCACACAGCAACCATGACTTGGATGACCAACGGTAAGTTTATGCGCTCCTTTCAATCTCGACGGCGAGTTATCATTGTCGTAGATGCTAACGACTCCTCGGATGATTCTCTGATCCTTGTCGTACATATCTATGATGCATTGTCTTTCCTTGGATTTTTGCTCCTCCTTGCAGTACTGCTCCCGGCGGCTCTTTCCAAGCAAATAAAGCGCAGGCGAACATGGTACAGTCTGATAATATCTTGGATGGTTTTCGCGTTCTCGTACCTATGCCTCGTGAACGACCATTTCGGCGACGAACCCCATTTTGGAACGTGTCTTTTCCAAACATTATTGGTGTATTCAGCGCCTCCGCTGTAAGGACTTAGTGTTTTGTTTATTCATTTTTTTTCGGTGCTGATTATGTGTCCAGAGTTGCAAGCACGGGGTTCCATTTCATTCTAGATGTAAAAGTCTGTTTGAGAATGGGGGACATGCATACGCTAACGCCTCAGATCAGATATACTTGGAACTTCGCAATACAACCATTGGTGGATCCAACGTCTCCGTAGTCTGTCGTGATATGGTGAGTACTGTCCTCTGGATATCCACGAACCGTCACTTCTGAACAATCAAACAGATGGTCTTAACGCCTTGGGTTCTCTGGGTCTTGATGATCATGACAACAGCATTTGTGAGTAAAAACGATTGTGAGAAGTAGATTTCTAGGTCCCTTGCTCATGCCATCCATCCTACACCCGCAGCTGATCAAGGATCCCACTCAAATATCCCGGGAATCATCTCACATGTACTGTCACAGCAACACCGTAGCACAGTCGGTTTTTTTCTCGCTTTTTCTCATCCTTTGCGAAAACGTTAATCGGCATTAGACTTGTAGTTACGCTATGTGTAACGTTCCCCTTGGCTGCCTCCTGCGTTCTCTTCGAAGGTACTCGACCATCTCTCACATCCCAAACCCTATACTTACGGACAATTCCCGGTAGGGCTAATGGGTCATCTACTGTATCGCAATTGGACTGTCTTCCGGCGGTACTGCGTCGATAAAGCCAGCGACAGCCGTAGCGGACGGGTATCCCTCTCGATGATCATTCGCCTCGTTTGCTTCACGATGGTCCCACTAGCCGCGCTCGGGTACGTGCATCTCTCCAAACGAAGCGGTGTCCCTTGCGACTTGACGTTACCTCATCGTGTAGCCTGGCATCACTCGTAGCCGCACACCAGACGGAGTCTAACGCCACTTGGAATATCCTCCTGGCATCATGTACGCTAGCTTCTCGCTCAATTTTTTGCCCCATGTGCTCACTGCCGCTGCTGCACCCAGTGCCAATTTTAGCTGCCTTGTCGTTTGGCACGCAAAAGGTTACTTGCTCTGTTTAACTGATAGGCCCTACCTGAGCATTTCTCTCTTAAAGGATATCGTCCGAGCATGGATGTTCTGCTTGCCTTCTCGTGGTGATGCGCCGGGAAAAGATGACGAGTCTCTGTCCCATAAGCAGCTTTCTTCCTCCATCCCTAATCCGCTACCTTCGCCAAGTCTCGGAGAGGGATGGTCGAGTCGGCAGTCAAACGTTTCCAAGTACTCTTTGCCTACCTATCAACACCAAAGCTTGTTGTCTATCGAATCCGTGCAATCCCGCTGAATGTTCTAGCGCTCACATTTCGTGGACAGAGATTTATATTGACTTGGAATATTTGCATAATATTGAAGTTTTACATACAGCAAGTGACGGTATATTTCATTCTGGTAGACAGGACTATATCTATACATTCATTACATACGGTGCAGATCAATGAAGTACAAGCAATTTTAGATTCGATCAAAACGGAGAGAGATTTCGTAATTTCGTACAGAGAAAGCAAAGCTGCGAAGACAATACATTGAGCGCATTCAGTTGAGAGCAAGGCATGACCAAGACAAAAGCGGGAAAAAAAAAGACCTAGATGTCAGGCACATGTCCCTGCACCTCCGACGGCCCGACGTGATAACTCGTCAACACGGTCATCAACGAACACATATACCAGAACCTATTGTCGCTCTTCTTACCCTTCTTTTTCTTCTTCTTCTTATCCTGACTCTCAAAGTCTTGCTGACGGGCCATCTGAATCCACGATCCACCTAGACCCATCCCCACCCGAAGGTCCTTTGCGGCATCCTCGCCAACGAAAATGGTGATATCGTCCTTCCACGGGTTATGAGGCTTCGGCCCAGAGGGAGGCGTGTCGGCCTCAATGTCGTCTTTACCGAGCACTGGGCCCTTCGAGAGGGACGAAATCGTCGGCTCATCATCTCCTGTCTTGGACCCGAGCCAAGGCGACAACACCACCTTGGTGAACCTGCGTTCCAACTCCGCTTCTACAGCTTCGGGGCTGGGGTCCTTGGCGTGAGGTAACGCAGAAACATCTTTGGGTGGAGGGATGATAGCGGCTATTCGTCGCATTGACTGCTCAACGATACCAGTAGTATGCGTCACAGGAAGGGCAGTAGGTCCGAAAAGTTCCATCAACCGGGGTCGCTCTACCAGGAAACTCCAGTCTTGCGCCGTAGAATCATTCCAGACATTTTGAGGCGCCGGTGCAGCGTCGTCATCGGCATCCCATGTACTCTTCCAACCACCGCTTTCCTCGGCGGTAATCGCCTCCTCCATGAGCACATCCACATCCTCCGGCTTGATGAGATCAAGGTTGGCGTCCTTCAGTGACTGCTCAAAATCCGCCGCCTCGGGATCAACTTTGAGACGTTTCGCCTCAGGCTTTTCTATATCCGAATCGTCGCTGGGGTAGAAAACATCAGGATTGATGCTCCAATGATCTCGAAAGGCGTAATTGAGGACGTCAGGGAGGGCTTTAGAGATTTTGGAGGTGCAGATGAGCTCTTGGCTCGCGATATCGATGATATTTTGAGAGCGATCCAGGCTGGCCTTGCACTCCGGCCAAACGTTATTGATGATAAGGTATTTGATGAAGAAACCAAGCACGCGCGGGAAATTGATCAGCCTGTAATCTTCACTGCAAATAATTGATCAAATTAGGAGAATAAATGGGAGAACGTGTAGACATACAAATGTAACCCTTGGTTGATCATGTAGTACGACAAAAAGGTAGTGATACTCTTCTCCGGATTCTCGAAGAAATCCAAGAGTTTGTCGTTCTTTGCATCCTTAGCCGCAGCGAGGAGATCTTGAATTTGTTCATCATTCTCGACCTGGTGTGCCTCTTTCCCGTAGTTTTCGTAGGGAGGCCTTGGACGTGGTTTCTTTTTCGGAGCACTGGCGTTTTGGGACACCTGAACGTCTTTCATGTGTGGCATCCCTTCATCATCAGAAAAGTCGTCGTCCTCTTCGTTGTCTTTCGAGGCCTTATCAGGATCCGTTTTGTGCCATACTGGGGTGCTCTGTAACAACCCAATATACAACTGGATCTATTGTCGTCAATGTAAGGGTTATCGCGAAGGTAGGTCGACACATAAAGATACATACCTGATCCCATATTTCATTGACCTTTTGAGGGATCGGACGACGTGCCCGAATAAAGTCACTAGCCGCTTGATGAAGACGATCTTGGGGCGGACGGCGACTGTGGGAATACGGATCAGATACGCAATCGCAGTGGCAATAAAGACGCGAAAAAGAAAGAAAAATGTTACATACTCATCGTAGCCTTCTGGATGGAGACGTCTCCCCATATCTTCCCAATCGTTCCACCACTCTCGCTTTTCTCCCGAGGCCTTCCAATGGGACTCATTGACGTCCTTCTCGCCACTCTGGGCATTCGTCTTGCATAAGTCAGTAGCGTGGACCGATTTTATAGCAACAGTAGGAATCTGCAGAGCATCTCGCTCAACACGATCAGATGTTTCCATCAAGATTCCGACCTCCTTGTAGTCCTTGAAAGGTATGATTTCAACGCCTTCCGGCGGCTGTGGGAAGGGAGGGAAACGCATTTCAAAGTTAGTCGAGGGCGCCTCCTGGCCAGAATTTGGATTTTCGATAGCCATGGTCGAAGAAAAGATTGAGTTTGGACGTTTGACGCCGAAGGTTTGCGTTAAAAGGAAGCAGGTGCGTGGGATAGTTGGTCGTTTACGGTAAGTCCATTTCCTAACGGGGATGGTACCTACTGCCCTCAAATCATGAAAACTAGTGGCAGTGGCAATTTTCTTCTTGAAGGAGAGATAAGAGTCATTCAAAGCTTAAGGAAGATCAATTCATTCTCTCTTTGTATGATGCGGTTTCAGAAGGACACATACACTCTACCTTCGTACGATCTAAGCGTGAAAGAATCGATCTCGGACCTGTCATAGTTTCCTAGCACTAGCTTCATATTGTCGGGCCCCTTATCCACAGGCAGGTCGAGCTCCACCACCTTGTCGCTAAAATTGAGCAGGACCAGCACCTGTACTCTCGACTCTGCCAAGGTCCTTCTGTATGCAAAGACATGCTCGTGTTCCGGGACGAGGAGCTCGTACTCTCCGAAGATCTGCAACCACATCAGCACTTGTTGCCCAGCACAGTGTGACTTACCAGAACAGGGTACTGCTTGCGCGTCTGAAGAGCGCGTTTATAGAATGAAAACACACTCCCATCGTCTGCAAGCTGAATAGAGGCGTTCCATGTCTGATAATCCTCGTTTACGCGCATCCAGGGTACACCACTGGTGAATCCAGCATTCAGAGACGAATCCCACTAAGGGGTACGGTCAGATAGAGTCAGACTTGAGAGCGAAACGATATTACCTGCATCGGTACACGAGCATGGTCCCGCGCCTTTCTCCGGAAACCCTCAAAGACATCTTCCATGTCGATCTCGTCCGCTTTCTTACCTGTCTCGCGGATTCGCCGCTCCAAAACTCTATGGCAGGGACGATCAGCCTACACCAAACGTATCCGCAAAAAAGTACCTCTTCCAGTAATTCTGCGAAGCGACATCTTTGTACTCCTCGAGCTTCCAACTCGGCGGGAAATTCTTCAAACCTAACTCTTGCCCTTGATAGATGTACAATGTGCCCTTCTGGGTCACTTCCAGGATAGCCAACATCTTGGCAGAGAGAGCGCGTAGCTCATCAGTTGTGTCGTTTCCGAATCTGGAGACAGCGCGCGTATGGTCGTGATTCTCAATAAAGATGCTGGGAAACGCGTAAGATAGATACAAAGGAACGAGAACACGACTCACGCGTTCCAAAAACCATCGGCGCTCTTGAAAACTTGCCACCTGCTGATGATGTCCTTGAACTCAGCCAGTGTCCATTGTCGGTGCATCAAAGGGCTCCAGTCCCTCACGGTCTTGGGGGTGTCCAGCTCCATAAGCTCGAAGTGGAACACCATGTTCAGTTCTTTATGATCCGGTAAAACGTACAGCGCCAACGCATCCATCGATTCAGTAAAAGGCGTTTCGCCAACCGTGATAATATCGTAACCTAAGATTGTTCAGTGGCAAATCGTCGCCGGGATCAAGCCGTAGTAATACGGACGTGACAGGACTTTGTCCCTCATTTCTTTCAAGTACTCGTGAACACGCGGGCTACGACAAATTCATCTGAGCATAAGAGACCGTATAAACACCAAGTCCTACCCATTAGCAAAATGCACGCCCGCTGGTTGGAAGGCTTCATTGACGTCGAGGACAGGTGCGTCGGGAAGACCGTCGACTTTGGAGATGATGTTGATCACATCCATCTGAATCGTTTACGTGAATGAGACACCGGAGCATAGCGCAAAAAGAATATTGGGAAAAACCTTACCCTGAATCCATCACACCCGCGATCGAGCCAGAACCTCATCAAGTCATAGACAGCTTCGCGTACAGCAGGATTGGCCCAATTGAGATCGGGTTGTTTCGAAATGTACAGATGAAGATAGTATTCATCGGTATCAGCATCATAATCCCATGCAGAACCTGTCCCGCTGCATGAAAAACCGCTGCACATACAATTTATGATTACCTTCAAAGACAGATCTCCAGTTATTGGGTGGACGGCGGTTCCCTTCGGAGTCGTATTTCGGAGGACGCCAGATGTACCAATCCCGTTTGGGGTCGTCTTTGCTCCTTCGAGATTGCATAAACCATTCATGCTAGAGAGAATCGTCAAGAAAGAATGCCCTCAAACCCATCAACGACACCAACCTCATCCGAGGTGTGATTGACGACCAGGTCCATCCTAAGTGCGGGTGTGAGCGGGCAAAGTCTGGGCAGGAGAACGATTCCGCACATTAACTTCATTCCTCGGTCATGAATGCCTTTCAGGAGATTATCCCAGTCTTGCAACGTGCCATACTTTGGGTCAATCTCGCGATAATCCGATCCGCGACCTCGACAGTCATTAAAGGATCGGCCGGAAGAGCGATGTCCTTACATATCATAACCCATATCCGCGAGCGGCGACTTGTAGATCGGCGAAAGCCACAGTATGTCAACGCCAAGTTCTTTGAGATAGTCTAACTTGGCTGCAATTCCGTTAAGGTCACCGAAACCATCTCCGTTCGAGTCGAAGAAAGAAACAGGGTATATCTGGTACACAGTTGAGCTTTTCCACCACGGTTGGGCCATCGTATGGAATGGTCGTTGGTCAGGGGATATCGATAAGTGGAGCCTCGTGTCATCCGTAGGGAGCTTCTTGAGGCTTGCCCTCATGTTCGAAAGTCGTTTCTTGGGACTCGGACACTCGGTCCGCACGGGGAACGCACCCTGTTCGAGGGTTGAGTTTGGACATCGCATGAAAAACTAATCTCTGGAGGACAGGAAGATATCAGTGAAATCGATAGCAGGGAGTCCCGGGCCATTTGCTTCTCGAAGCTTTTTTCGCGCATGTCACAGGAAGAAACGGTCGCTCAGACTGGGTACCCTCGATGTCCTTCAATTGAAGCCTGGCTGAACAGAAAATCAGAAAACTTGAGCGGTGAGATCATGTAAGCACGTCAAGACGCGCCCTAGCGAGTTTCAGAGCTCGCCGATCCAGCCAAGAGGGGTGACGAGGGGAGAAGGTCAGGACCGTCTGGGGCCGAATTGGAACTGCAGATCGAGTAGGAATAGCCCATGATCTATATGAACAGTGAGTCAGCTTCCTCTTCTTCGAGTGACATGCGCCGTTCGTGTCCAAGTTCAACTCTTAAAGACAATTACTTCCTCTGTTACGGCCCGAACCAAGGACAATGGTTTCCTTTGCAAGAGATGAGAACCCTCTGCTCTCGACGTTCGGATATTTGACCCAACGGTTAACATTGGAAAAGGTGAGTGCGTCGAAGCCTAAATCCAGCTCCGACTGGGAGAGGGTGAGTACAAAATCGCCTCAGTATTCTTCGTATGTACAAACAAGTCATCTGGCGCAAAAAAAAAAAATCGCGTCTGCGAGAACATCAGACATATTTAGATTCAAGAATGGACGAACTCACCCTTCCGAGTCCCCACCTGTTTATTTCTTTTTCCCCTTCTTCTTTCCTGCTCCACCGCCGCCGCCACCACCACCTCCAGTAGCGGGTTCCGTCAAACCCTGGGTCGCTCCTCCCCCGCCGCTCCTCCCTTTCTTCCTGCTCTGCTGATATGTAGACCGTTCGCTCTTCTTCAGCCACCGCTCCGGGTCTGGTGCTGGAGAAACACCAGGTGTGATACCCTTCGGGACACGCGAAGCTCGCACCTTCTTTGTCGTCGTAGTGGGCTGGGCTGTCGACACCTGGACAGTAGCGGCAATGGACGACGGTGCCAGAGCCGGAGGTGGGGCGCTCTCTAGAGAGGACGCTATGGAGGAAGGAAGCAGCTGCGAGAAAGAGGCAGTATCCTGAAGGAGGAAATCCAGGTGTAGTTGGGCCGCAGAGAGGTTGGTGAGGATATCGGTATGCTCCTCGGATGTGGGGTCAGAGGAATCGAGAAGAGCGGTATATAGATCCACTGCGGTAGCAAAGTCTCCGTTTCGGTAGCTCTTGATGAACACTGGTGAGCCCAGAGACAAGACAAGAAAAGAAAGTCGTCGTACGAGCTGTGCCTCCAAATGAGTCGCGCCTCTCTCAGCATCACCTGTTACTTCTTTTAACACTTGTCGTGCCTCATCCCCCCTCTGCATCCTATACAACGCATAGGCTTTCTCAAACCCATCGCACCCTGGTAGGTCAAGCGCTGAATCATAACGCTCCGTCTGCAGGAGAAGAAACAGCTTGGTTTGTAGGGCATCCGGGTCGGTGGGGGCGAGAGTCAATACTAAAGCACACTGGTCAGCATAGGTGATATGGCCGCAGAATCAACATACTCTTGTCGCATGTCTTGAGCGCGTTGATGAAATGTCCTCCGTCAATCTGTGCACAGAGCGACGTGAATAGACGTTGCAGCCGCATTTCCAGAATCAGCTCAACCCTTTCCGCGGCAGTTTTCGACTTTATCCTCGACGACATAATAGCGAGGTGGTGGTATAGAAGACGTGTTCGCGATCAGTAACGCGCCGAAAGCGGTATGGCAATCGTGTAATGACCACCCCGGCTTTTTCCGGTCTTATTTTCCGGTAATAGCCGACAATCCAGCACAGCCATGCCGACAAATGAGCAGCACGGAAGAATATCTCTCTCCCTCAAATGTTTCCTATCCGATGCGTACAAGACGTATGGGTGGCCTGTGTCAGTGACATCCCGGAAAATAGAACGATAAGTGGACGTGAAATTCTTTCTGCTTGAAGGGACAGATTCGCGGTCTATCGGCCCATCATAGACCTCTGTGACCACAATCGCTGAGTTAAAAACTAAAATGAGGCAGGTCACATAGGCAGCGTTCAAAGTTATCCGGAACATCGGCTCGCATTGCCTATATTACCGGATCTTCATCGTGGTGGAAGAGAGAGCGGTGATATCGTCGGAAGCTTCGAACTCGCGCAGTAGCACAAGTGCATGCTGTTAGGATTACACGATGGCACAGGAATAATGTATGTACGTCCATGCGAATACTTTTGCCAGAAGATGCTCGTGGTCTAGGCTCGACGGGATGTCGAGAAGTGTAATTAAACGAAAATGGGAAGTTACTACAATTGGATGCTGGTTAGGTACATACTTGGGAGCGCGGTGCAGCGTGGACGGAGAAGGAAGCAGAAGGGTGATGCATCATATTTCCAGAATCATTCGAGAGGACTTAGACCGACGAAACGTCTGCGAAGACCAGATGTTGAATTGAGTCAGATGAGCCGCAGTGTAACAGCCTGATAGACCGTGGAATATTGAGCTCCGATAGAAGTAACCAGAAGCTATTCATGGCGTGCCTTCGGGAATGGTACTGTACCGGAACTATTCACACGCAATTTTGAGCCGTCAAAGGATATTCGTTGGGGCTTGGAACGAAGGACGTCCTAACGGCAACAGTCCAGGAGATAAGAAATTTAGACCGTTCATTTCGATCTGGCGGCATTCGGGCCGAACCTTCTGGATTAAGGGTCACCAGTCACATGCCATGACGTCAGCGGTCGCTGTCGAAAAGCTTTTTGAAGAAATTGATGGCGAGGATTTTCTTCTTAACGATTACCATGACGCTTACAACACCGCCCAACATGAAAACTTCTCCCCGCCGTCTCTCACCGTCACCGCGCCCAATGTCACCATCATCTATACCCTCGTCGCCGACGTCGGTGCACTCGTCGAGCTCAGCCATTTTCGAGCGCGACATCGAACCCACATCCCTACACCCGCAGCCAGTGCACCCCAATCCTCACAGAATACCTCGCGCGAAAAACACAGAGCTTTCTGTGCCTTCCGTCCTTGACTCTGCGGCAGCGATTCTAACTGATTCGCATCCAGGAGACCCCGACGTAGAGGTACTTAGTCCTGCCGCCAGTCCGCTGGTGAGCCGCAGTCCGTCTCCACGGACTTCAATGCTCCTTCCCACGTCATCAATAACGCCCCCTTCACCCACTGCCATCACTCGTGAGCTCTCGTCGTCGTCTTCACCCAACCCTGCAGCGAAACGGTTGTCGTTTCTGTCCTACAGCGACCTGCTTGCCTCAAATCCGACAAATACGGTCCCTTTGTCCTCGTTGACGACTGAACCTGCCACTCCGCCCCATATTCCGAGCTTGACGGACGGTGGCACTGGTAAGAACATTGGTTTCGATGAATGGGTCAGGGAGGGGCTTGGCATGGGGCTTGAGGAAAGGCTGGAGGCAGTCAGTGGTGCAACGAGCCCCGTCTGTACCAGAAGCCGCCCCGCCAGTGTTGTCAATGTGAAAGGTTAACCTTTTCTTCTGTGCTTTATGCATACTCCGTATTGCCACACAAATTCATCATTCGTCTCCTTAAAGTTATAATCCATGCCAGAGTAGTATTTCGTTCAAGGTTTCTTGAATATTTCAACGCTGTTTCCGTCGTACTTATCTAATGCCCCCAATTATTTTATACCTTATGTACCATAAATGGACCTCTATGATATTAATGTACATGCGTTTCCTCGTGAACTATCCCTTTCCAACCGCAACCATCACACTGGAAATCTGATTTCGAAATTGGATTCATCCATGTTGCAATGCATAGCTTCAGTGGATCAATATTGTTCTGCCCCGTCTGTGTCGGAAAGATGTTTATCACCGAGAAGATGCAGATCTTCAGAGGCTACCTGATTTTTAAAGAATATCAAGGAACAATGCTGTACAGCCATTGTTAGTACACCGCCGCTGGATGACCGGGACCGTGCTAGTACCACCATTGTTATGTGATGTATATATAACACGAACAGCGAGGAATCAACCACGCCTCAGTCCAGTACCAATCCGAAATCGTACTCGGAGCTCAGGCTGTTACGAGCCACAAATATTCATGTTTCTGAAACATTATCAGACCGGGGATTCATCGCAATCAGAAATTGATTGTGCCGGTGTCCAGAGTGTGTAGCACAGAGGGCTTTTGTCCATGATCAGTTGTGAATGGGTCACAAATTGATTCCGCTGCAGTTCCTTGTAGATATGCTTTTTGCTTCACTTGATCGATGGAAAACATCTCCGAAATTTATCGGTACCGCTTACTAGATTATACTTATACCTAGGTCCACCAATCTTTTCTGATTAACGTGGGTCTCCTTCTCTGCTGAGTCATGATGCACGTGACACTCACCAGGAAGACCCATGTATCACGGACACGACCCCCATCGGTGATGTGAACTGGGACCGCTAGCGCCCTGACTGTTTGGCGTCAAGGGTGAGTTGTCGGAAGAACTTGTATCACCAGATAATCAACTGTAGTATTGAGATTATCTTCCGACAATATTGGACGAATAAACTTCGTGTTTGTAGAATGTGCACCAATTTATCAGGATCCTGGCGATAAGATGGGTTTATTCGAAAAATATTGGCGATATGGGTAAGAGCGCGTCTGTCTATGATGGTAGGAGTCAAGGTCGATGCATAGCATGATGTAGTGGCACGAGTTCCAAAGGAAGGACTGGGCGCTCTGTGAGTCTGGACGGACAAGTCGTGCCTCTTTTGAGGGTTACCGGGCATCGATTGAACGGGATCGCGACGCATCCGTGGACGGAGGGTGTGTCCGCTGAATAGGGACTTGAAGCTGAGGTCCAGAGGAAGATTTTTTGCTCTGAGGGAATGAATGTGCATTCGCGAACGGCGGCGGCACATCATCCCATTTTCCATCTACTCCCATCACAACATTCGAAAACATGGCTGGCTCAAGTCATATACAGACAGATCGCCGCTCGTATCGATGACCAGGTAGGGGTCATAAAGCTGTACAAGCAAATCCTTTCGCTGATTCACTCTGAACTCAATATGGGCTTCCGCCGAGGATCGCTAATAAGATATGAATTAAAGCGGTCACGAACCTCTACCAACTGACTGTACAGGGTGTGGCGCCAAAACATCACAAAATTGGGCAGAGAGAGACAGGTTAGAAAGTAACTATCGACACTCAAAGACTATATCTGCAATAAAACCGTATTCAGATCTTCAGTCACCGAACGAATGCATTAGAGAGACTCACAGATGGCATGAGCGACGGTGCCAATTCGGAAACGTATAAATTTCTCAGAGTTATCAAGAGAACTAGCTTTCACGGGAGCTAACTGTTGGTATAATAGGCGCGCATATCTTGCAACGGACTTCCAGCGCTCTCATCAAATTGACAGAATGGAACCATACCTCAATAAAACATGACCGTCGGGCAACTCGCATCTTCAACCGTCTGGGTGATCCGTCAACAGGGACCGGAAATAAGGCAATATACTGAAAAGAATCAAAGCTGACTCGGATCTCGCAAGGGGAGATCTGCCTGGCTACTACTTCTTCACCGTCAATCAGCGCCAGTCGAGCAATGATATCGTTGACTCGAACATGAATTGTCAGGGAAGATATTTCGCGATGGTCCTTGGTGAAATGGACATGGACGTCCAAGTCTTTCCGACGCTGTCTCTTGACAGATCTCTCAGGAGCCGGTGTCATAGCGCCTAAAAATGCTGGCCAGTCCGGGCGTACAAGAACGTGGCGGCGATCCAACAGATTGGTGCTGAAAATTTCTCGGTGATGTGAGGAGGAGACTACCACATTCGTATCGTCGGGATTCACATCCAATAACCAGAAGGGGATCCACGTTGCTACCCTGGAAACGGTATCATCGGCCAGCCTGTCCGAGTAAACCTTTCTGGATGTGACATGCAAGGCAGGAAAACAATTAAGCATTTTCCTCGAATGCTCTTGAATTTCAAGCATCAAACCAGAAGCGTGAATCTCCTGAAGGACGGGGTGGGGGAGCTGAACAATCAGACAGACGATGGGAGGCACGAAGGGCCAAGTGCGACCAAAGCGACGGTTAGTGTGTGGGCTGAGCGGCACGACCAGTTCTCGCGAAAACGCATCCACGACGTGTACATTCTGCAAATGAATTTCGCAGGACAAGTGTTGGAAATAAAGCGAATCTCCGCCCCACGTCTCGATACGGCGGAGTAGACCCTGCATAGCGTCGCCCCATGCGGTGTCCACCCGTTCCTTCACAACACCCAAGAGTGTGACGAAGCTCTTCCGCATATTACCGGTCTGAACGCATTTCGTATAGATATGGCACAAGGCCTGCGAGAGTTCTTCAGAGCCGACGACAAGGCGATATGGGCCTCTCTGAAGCTTCCAAAGGAAGGACTGGGCATGGTCATGCGTGAGCGACGGATGAGTCTCTGGGATGAGGCCTAAGAAGAAAAAGAGCACGTTCAGATGCTCGGTGCTGCGTTTGTGGGTAGTCACTACCAGAGGAACATTGGCTAGCATCGGCTGGGCCACCTCTGCGAGTATATCCAATAAGCCCGGATGGTCTGCAGAGCTCTGGAGGTGGATCATATCGAACTTTGTCCCTTCATCTGACCAAAGTGTTCGCGGGCTATCGGTTAGAAGATGAATGGTGATGGCACATTGTGATACGAGCGAGCGGAACGCATCCACCATTGTACAGGTAAAATGATTGGTAGGTCCGGTAGATACTCGGTAAATATGCTCCTCTTCTTGCAGCCAGGCAGCCCAATGACGACGTAGGATCTCCATTGAACTATCCGGACAGACAGTCAGAAACGAAGAGAGAACAGAGTTTCTCCACGAAGTGAGGGTTTCTGACGCACTCAAAAGGCCCTTGCATTTGCACCGTAGTAGCCTTGGGCGCGAGGGATCGTGGAGTACGAAGTCATAGGCATCCTCCCATACCTCGGAGCTTTCCTCAGTTGCAAAGACGCTGAATGCTAGCACAAGTCGAGCTGTAGGAACGGAAAGATATCAGACAAGGGATATGGCGGGCTTGGGCCCGTACATCTGAAGGACTGTCACGAGCTCGTGGTCGGGCGAAAGGGACCGCAGAAGCCGTATAATCGCAACACCACATCACGAAGGAAGACATGTAGACCCAGTGGACGTAGGAAGGTCCCCAGGGACAGCGGAACGCTGAACGCTGAAATGAAGGTCTTAAGTGCTTTTGCACCTGTTTCGACGGATTCCATTAGGTTACCGATTTGATTTTGACATCACCGACGCTCCAGTGACTCGGAGACGATATCGGCAGTACTGGCGACATCGAAATCGTCGAAGACACTGAGTCTACACAGCAGCTGATAATGAGCACAAGTCGTTGCTCCCAAGTTTGTCAATTCTGGGGTTGTCCTGGAAGATGATTGGGTGTGGCGCGTCAAGGACCTGAGTAATTCGACATCCTTCGTCAAAATCACATAGTAAAGGCAAATGGATCAGACCATTTAAGTTTCTTCGCCCAGAATACCAGAGCATAGAACAGAGGCGAAGGGAAGAAATCACGAGTGCGATATTCTTATCCGGAGAGATGTACGGGCCCTATACATATATTAAGACAGAAAGAGCAGCTTACCCAGGACAGCAGGGTCAGCGTCGTGACACGTAACATCAATGTTGGTGATTCCTAGAGTGAAGGAGAGGATTAACGGCGCGACGAGCATAGCTGAATGCCAATGCTGACCGTGGTCATTGATTTCCCCTAAAATGAGGGCCAAAATATTATCCAGACGGCGCAAACCAATGAGTAGGATACTCCGATCCTTACGATATTCTATCAGTTGTTGAGATGGTACATCCATGAGTCAATATGTTTCTCTTAAGTGCCTCAGATACAGTAGAGCACGAAGTAGCCTCGAACCAGATGTTCTTCGCAGGAAGGTGTGGCCCAAATCATTGAGATTTCCCACTACTTATATAAAATGGTGACATAAAATGTCTTCGAGAAGCCTTAGCATGAGGTTTAGCTTAAGCTTCTGGCCGGAGTTCTGTTGCTGTCGAAACCTGAATTTCCACCGCAAGTAATAAGTTTCCTGTGGCAAGTAGAAATAGTGGGAAGTTTCCCAACAACGCATTCTGCAGCGGTGATTTGGCGGTGAAGATAGTTCATTGTCCAATTCCCTTCCTGAATTGTTGCTGCCAGCCTTTGTTGTTGTCAGCGGTCGTGTGGGCAGGTGGCGGTGCCGTTCGCGGCACCTTTCTTTTTAGGCTTCACTCACGATACCACCTTACTGACGACCATGGAACCCTCGAGGACATCTTCCGCCGACCGATTCGCCCAGATTCCTCCCAAGACGGCGGACTTGGAGGAGACATGGGCATTCCTCAACCCAGGCGTCGACCATATCATGTCCAATCTCGAGGCTGGCCTTACATTTGCCAACTATACTAACCTGTACACAGTGACATACAATTACTGCACGTCGACGAAGATGGTAGGTATTGGTCACAGCAAAAGCGATGGCAGCTCAAATCGAAGTAAGTTCGAACTTGTAGTAATGCCGCACTCATGATAACAACTATGAAGCGGGCGCCAATCTAGTCGGATCTGAGTTGTACCACAAAATGACCGAATACTTTACGATACATTTCGCCTCTATGAAGCAGGTTCGTCCTGCATGTTGCGCCGCTACGATCGCCCTAATAACCGTGTACAGACCGCTATTTCGCTGCAAGACGAGGAGCTCCTACGGTACTATGCATCGGAATGGCATCGTTACACCACCGGGGCGAACTATCTCAACCGTCTTTTCACTTATCTCAATCGATATTGGGTCAAGCGGGAGCGTGATGAGGGGAAGAAAGAGATATATCCTGTGTATACGGTGAGCGGTGGCGGCCAGCAATCTTGCTGTTATCATTGATATCATCTCTATCAGCTTTCTCTCGCTCAATGGAAATCGCAATTCTTCCTTTTTATACAAATGGATAATCAGAAGCTGGCCAATGCTGTCCTCCGCCTCATCGAACGTCAAAGGAACGGCGAAATGATTGACCAGGGACTTGTGAAGAAGGTGGTGCTGTCTTTCGTATCCTTAGGCCTCGACAACACCGATCTCAACAAAGAGTGTCTGGAAGTGTACAAGGAGCACTTTGAAGCCCCGTTCATCCTAGCCACCGAACAGTACTACAAGAAGGAGTCAGAAGCTTTTCTTGCCGAGAATACAGTTTCCGATTATCTGAAAAAGGCGGAAGAGCGTCTACGGGAGGAGGAGGACCGAGTAGAAAGATATCTACACACCAAGACGCGCAAAGAATTGATTCAGAAGTGTGAAGAAGTGCTCATCCGCCAACATGCAGAGTTGATGTGGGACAGTTTCCAAAATCTCCTGGACTTTGATCAAGATGAAGACCTCCAGCGGATGTACGCACTGCTGTCGCGTATTTCGGACGGACTAGATCCGCTGAGGAAGCGATTCGAGGTGCACGTCAAGCAAGCAGGTCTATCAGCGATCTCGAAATTGGTGGGAGAGGGCAGTTCCGTGGATGTTGACCCCAAGATATACGTGGACGCATTGCTGGAGGTTCATCAGAAGAACTCGGAAACTGTTACTCGAAGTTTCCGAGGGGAAGCTGGATTTGCGGCCAGTCTCGATAAGGCGTGCAGAGAGTTTGTCAACCGTAATGCCGCCACCGGATCGTCATCGACCAAGTCGCCCGAGCTGCTCGCCAAACACGCAGATATACTTTTGCGGAAGAACAACAAGATGGCTGAAGAAGGAGATTTGGAGAGCGCGCTCAACCGTGTGGTCGGTTCCTCGTTCAGCCAATTTTGGATTTGTATTGATTGGGTTCTTTGTAGATGGTTCTTTTCAAGTATCTGGAAGACAAGGACGTCTTCCAAACGTTCTATACCACCAAACTTTCCAAGCGACTCATTCATGGCGTATCTGCTTCTGATGAGAGCGAAGCCAGCATGATATCAAAACTGAAGGAGGCTTGCGGTTTCGAATACACCAACAAACTCCAACGCATGTTCACCGGTTCGTTGTTTTTGTGCCAGTACAAAATGTCTGACTAACCGATGCCCAAAATAGACATGAGTCTGAGCAAGGATCTTACTGACTCGTTCAAGGAGCGGATGGCCCAGAATCACGATGATATGGACATGACTTTCACCGTCATGGTCCTCGGTACTAACTTCTGGCCTCTCAACCCTCCGACCCACGGCTTTACCATTCCCGTCGAGATCATGCCTACCTATGAACGTTTCACGAAGTACTACCAGAGTAAACACTCCGGCCGTAAATTGACATGGCTTTGGAACTATTCGAAGAACGAACTGCGAACGAATTACCTGAACCAGAAATACATCTTGATGACTAGCGCGTACCAGATGGCCGTTCTTGTTCAGTACAACCGAAACGACACGTTATCCTTGGATGAGCTGTCTGCGGCGACCGCGATCAGCAAGGACATCCTGTCCCAGGTATTGGCGTTGTTGGTGAAGGCTAAGATTCTCGTTAATGAGGAGAAGGACCAGTACGATTTGAACCCTGGTTCGTGATAGGTTCCGCTTGCCCCTTCGCTTTCATTGACCGGTCCTTATTCTCTGTTCAGGTTTCAAGTCAAAGAAGATTCGGGTCAATCTGAATCAGCCAATCAAAGCTGAAGTGAAGGCCGAGTCTTCTGATGTCCTCAAGGCCGTCGACGAAGACAGGAAATATGTTATCCAAGCTACTATTGTTCGGTTCGTATATTTCGCACTGTGCGTTTTTCTCCATACGCTAACTGTATTGCAGAATCATGAAAGCCCGTAAGACGATGAAAAACCAAGCGCTGATCCAGGAAGTCATTTCTCAGATCTCTCAACGTTTCGCTCCCAAGATTCCTGACATCAAAAAGGTGCGGTCCCGTTAGGCATATCAAAAAATACCTGTTCTTACATGCATTCTTCCCACCAGGCGGTGGAGACCCTTTTGGAGAAGGAGTACATGGAACGAGTTGACGGACAGAAAGACACATTTGCCTATGTTGCATAATTCCTCCGCTCCCTTCCTCACATGTATCGTCGCATCATCACTCATTCCTTGTACCATAATGCAATACATTAGAAAGTCGGCTGAGTCCCTGCCATGTACATTACTCGCCGTAATACACTGGCCTGCTACATCTTCACTCCAGACTCGATTTCTCCCAAAATCATCGTACCGTCTTTACTGCCGGTAAGGACTGGATGGACGGGGTCAGATAATTGTAAGAAAACACAAAGCAATGGCACATACTGATGGGTTCCTTGGGGTGGAAATCTACAGAGGTGACTGTTCCCTTGTGGCCAGGAAGCTACACATGGATGTCAATGAGGCATGTTGAACTAAAAAGGGAGGAACCTACCTTGTACAGTATCTTGCCACTATCAACGTCCCATATACACACCGCCCGGTCTGCACCACCAACCGCCACTCGTCGTCCTCCGTCGTCCTTGCTCCACGCGCCCCGTAGTAGGGTGTTCTCGAATCCAGCCGGTGCACCCTGCAAGACACGATGTATCCGCGTCGGAGATGAAGAGAAGGGTCGGATATCATGAATGATAGTATGCGACGAGAAAGAAGGTGAGAGGAGGTAGTTTCCGTTTGGAGAAAGCGCCAAGGACGTCGGCGTGTCGCTATGCCCCGTAAGCGTGTACACTTGCTGGCCTTTTCTGAGATCGTATACCTAGAGTCAAATTTAGGATCAGGGGGCATAGTCAAAGGGAGAGAATTAGGACGAACGTGGATTTCGTTGTCCAGTGCGCCAATATACACATTTGCACCGTCGGCTCCCCAGCATACCGATGTGACAGGGCATCCTACATCAAACGTTGCCACGGCTTGTTTCCCTCCTTCCTCGCCTCCTTCCCATATTTTCACAGTACCGTCGTCGGAACCCGTGGCGACAAGCTCGGTACCAGCTCCCCCGGCCATAGTCCGGTCAACAGTGTTTATTATCTCGCGATGAGCGCGAATTTTGCGTATCCGATGACCAATGGTCACGTCCGTGAGGCAAAGCGTGTGGTCTGCGGCAACGGTGTATAGCGTTGGCGAGCAAAGTGACCATTGGAGATCTAATATGGGCGCCTTGGATAAATTTGAGAGGAGACCGTAGTTTGAATTTGGTGGATATGTTCTCCAGAAAGCTGCGGCATTGAATTAGATAAACGTCTTTGGAGTAGGTGATTAACGTACAGACACTCCGGTCGGCTGAGCAGGCAGCTATATTCTGACCTGTTGGGTCGAAGCGACAACTTAGAATCTCGGCCTACATTCCAGAACTTGAGAAGCATATTCAGACAACAAAATGGTGTCCTGCGTACGGAATGAGCACCCGCGAGGCTGATAATTGGCGCTTCCAAGCTACTCGTTCGTTTTACTGTTCGAATGAGGCTTTTCGATCGTTCGTCATTGGATGAAGATATGGCAATTTGATTGGAAGGTGGAGGGGTCGCTTTGGCTCTCTTGACAAGAATTCCTTCTGCTGGGGGGGATCCTCCTCGTTTCGACATTTCTTCGAGTTCAGTGATGGAAAAAGTTCGAGTTCAAGGTGCAAGCCGCGCTGCCGCCAAAGCCGTGCATAATATGGACAAATTCAACTGATTAGATTAGATATGGCACTTGAGGTCACCAGCACGTTGCGCTGCGGAACGGATGTCGTTTCTTCACCGGCGGCCATGCTGGCAACAATGTTTATTTCTTACTCAGAGGGTTGGTTTCTTTAGGTATGTCGTATATTTTGACTTTCGCTGAAGTTGAATGCTGATACAATCACATTACAGGAAGAATACCAGGCCTAATATCAGGTTTGCAGCCGTTCCACCATGTTTTTGCCTGCGCCAGCTAATCCTGACGACATATCGCATATTGAACTGCCACAATCACGGTTCCACTCACGACCGATGCCTTCTTCACCGTAATACTATTCACCTTGAACTGAATCCAGCAATTTTACATGTACCTTCCTTTCTTTGTCGAGTGCATCTGGTGACGAGGAAATGCCTATCCAGGACTACAGATGTCAAGGATGGCAACACAATGCGCTTTTTGTATCGCTTTATTTATTAACTTCACTGTGCAGTATGGACTGACTTCCGTGGTTCGTCAGACCTCAAGCTGCGAAACCAACTTTCTCCAGGTCACCAACAATCATGGCCCTCCACAGTCTAAAGATGCACAGTTTTACATTCTGTAGTGTTGTCGGAGAGGTCTTATCAAAGTTTGTATCGTCACTAACGGACACGACACACATCTGGAAGAATCGTTGGCGCATTCAGCTTTATTGGTCGGGAACCCTTTCTCATGTCAATCCCCAAGTAGTCCTTTGCTTTTCGTATGCGATACAGACCCAGAATACCGCCGTTAGTCTGGAAGTCCCTTCCATAGAAAGCTGGCAGTTGATGGCGAGTCGATGACTTTGATGCTCTTTCTTTGGACTCTACTGTGCTACTTGTTATACTCAGCTATTCGAAGACCGGCTCGTTCGATGACCAATCATTGCGATCATGCTACGGAAAGCTATTGTTCTCTTCAGGATTTTATTGTTTTGAAGCTTTGTAAAAGCCGGTCTTTACGATCCGGGTTTCGAGTGGTTCTACAGCCCTACTAAATACGGTATTGATTTTGATGTTCCTCAGAGAGACTTGTCTTCAAGCTTCAAGCAGCACTATGCTATTCGGAGAGGCTCGTCTGGCTCTGGGTTCGGGTTAAGACATTAAAGTAAGCATTCTCACGCAGTCATTGCTGCTAGGATCGACATCCCTTCTAGTCGACACGTTATACCAGCAGCTGCTTGGACCGAATTCAACACCGTGGTTCTCAGTACCTCATTCAACCTCAAGGATACGGCAATGAGCTGCTTTGTTCTTGTTTGATCATCAAGAAATCCTGTTGCCGAAATGAAACTAGAACTGAAACTGGTCACTTGTTTTCTTTTTCGTATCCTGCTGTGGCTTCATGTGGGTCTGAGTATTTCTCTGAAGTTGCTTGTTCTCAAAACAGCCGTCTTTCGTTCCTTTTGTGCACGATCAATTATTGATGCGTGGCGTACTCTTAACATTGAGCGCGGTTGTCGGGTCTTCCTTAACCATGTCAGCTGAAAGAAATCAGTCCACACGTCTCATGTAGAACAAAATGCTGCGGGATAAATACCATTCCTGCCATTGAAGTCCGCTGATAAGGTGATAATATTGATGGGCGGCGCGCAGTCAGATTAGCGAGTTCATCATATTGGTCATGTAATAATATCAATATTCGAGGCTCTTTGCTTAACACATCCAGTGCAGCCCAGCGTGCAGCACTCGTGCAAGGTCCTCACATTGCTTGATTTGTTTTCTGACATCGAAAGTGCGATTGACAATAACAATGTTGCCTTGATGCCATGAGGAAGACACGAGGCCCGAATCCCTTCTTTAATTCGAAACTCTAGAATTCTGGAATCTTTACAGGCTCTTGCATTTTCTTGTCTGCAGACATTGTTTCCATACTGCGAACAAACGACGACGGCGACGACGATGATGACCTGTCGCATAAATATATAGACAATTGAGCCTCAAGGCAACCGGAGATGTCTCCATCTCGGTTCCTGATGCAAGGCGATTGCCACGCGATTATAAGCGAGTATCTCCGATTTGCCGCGAGGCCAGCCTCACGTTTTGAGGACGTTATGTATTCAGGGATCCGATCTATTTAAGCTCTTAGCCTGACCCTTCCCATCTTTTCTTCCCCCATTTTTTCTCTCCCACCAGCGACCCCCCCCCCCTCCAGCGACGCGACGCCTCCTCCCATATACTACCCACAATGTCGTCTGATGAAATTATTGTGAGCTTTTCTTCTCGCTTCGTCAAGACCTTAGGCTGACGAGTGCTTCCCCCCTTTGCTAGCCAGGAGACATCGTCGCTGTACAGCACGCTTTTTCGGGCCGCCGTGAGGGCCTAGTCATCGGCTCCCATTTTGATTACGCAGTATGTCCGGGCATTAGCTGGAGCGGGGTGCCAGGGAAGCCTGATCCTTACGTTTAGGGCCGTCAAATAGTCGAAGTCCAGCTTGACGGCGGTGAGGTGTACCAGGCCTGGTGAGCGGAGTTCTGTAATATCACCCGTTTCCAATTTTTCTCACCATCATTTACAAGGTACCCGACCGTCACCCGCGTTAAGCGCACAATTTCCTACTCCCGTCCTTCATATGTCAAGCCCAGGACCATCGAACGTCGGGTTTACTGGTGATCTCGAAATGTCACATTAACCAATGTTGCTACGGATTGCTTTCTTTTGGAATTTTACAAATGATCACGGGAAGGAAATGATCACGGGAAGGAAATGATCTAGAAGGACCAAATATTTCCAGCCTTTTTCTAGGGCATCTGTACAGTTTGAAAACGAGTACCTACCATCCAATGCGCACCTCGTAAAATCTCCGCGATAGAATTCGAAGCGATCAAATGTCGGATATATAATCAGGATTGGTGAATCTAATAATACAAACCCATCGGAGGGATACTATGCTTGCGAAGAGGGGGGAGGGATAAAAAGATGCGTCAAGATCATAGCCCAGCAGGTGGCTGAGATAGATCATTCAAAGAGTCTGGTTTGTGGTTGTGAGGTTCCAGGCGATGGGAAGTCATCGAAGGCGCTGACAGAGAAGCCGGTGGTTTTGGTGAGAATAGAGAAGCAGGCGCTGAAGAACTGAAGGAAGATATCGTCATCGGATCGGTGTCGCTGCCCTCCATAAGTCCGTGACCGTTCGATATTGATATGGGCTTCGACGACGATGTGGGTGGAGGGGACGAAGACATAGTCCGCTTCAAGCCAGGTGTAACACTGTTACTCCGTCTTCTCCTTCCAGCGGCAACGCTCCGCACTACTCGTGGTCCCAGATACGATGGTGGACTTCCAGAAACACTGCTCGTCTTCTCATTGTCCTCGCTTTTCACCGTTCCGTTGATGCTGACCAACGATCGAACACTCCCATTCTTGTTGGTCATCATCATCATTTCGGGTTTCAACGTCTCTTCAGAACTTTCTGGACTCGCCATGCCCACACCATATGCGTATCCGTTCGTAATTCCGTTCGCAGTGGTATAAGGGTAATGCTCCGATGGCATAGGCGCAGAGAGGATCGCTCTCTCGTAGTACAACATGAACGCTCCAGAGCCTTCTCGCAAAACGCTTTTAATCCCGCACTCATCGACAGAGTCGTCGGATATTCGAAGCCATCCTTTACCAGCACCAGGAGAAGAGTCCGCATCTTCCCATTCCAAATCAGCAAGCGGATCGGACTCTTCTTCTCGTTTGGCAGAGGTAGGTGGTCGGTCCTTGATTAGAATCCTTGGCGGCTTCCAACGATCTTGTGCTTTCGAATCTGGTGGTTTCCGGCGAAAACTGATATAGTGTCCAAATGAATGCTGGCCGTAGTGACACACGACTGCAGAGAGTCGATATACTGTCCGGGAATGAAGATTGGCGTAGGTAGTACGAGTGGGGGTACCGGATCGAGGGGGGAGAGCGGATGGTGTAGATAAGGAGCTTGTGGGGACGGTGGAGAGGTTTCCTGAGGTGGTGAAAGGCGTTAGATCAAGGACTTCGGGAAAAATCACCCGAATGTTGTTCTTGGTAGCGTAATGGGAATAATGGACCGAGCGATTAATGTGCAATGCTAGGACGGGAGGGGGCTGCGTTCAGTGAGCCGGCGGAAGATACGACAAAAGGACACAGCGACGTACTCTGGCTATCATAGCCTGCTTTGTGGACATCGAACTGAAAACCTTCTCCATCCGGATATCTTTGAGCTCGTCTTCAATGCGGCCCTCGTCGAGAGCAGCCTTGACGCGTGCTTCCATCTTCCGCACATCTTTCAGACGTCGTTTCTTCGAAGCGGATGGTTTATTTTCAGGTTTGGTGGCCTCAACAAGAGTCTCAACCTCTTGCATCAACCGACGATGGGTTGAAAGCATCGAACAACGACGACATATACAGTCGCGAAGTACCTCGAGACGGGTATAGTCTTCAAGGCAGTCTTCGAGGGTACAACTCATCTAATACAAAATAAGCAACAGGTAAATGGATCAGAAAGATCGTACCGCCATACGAGGCACCGCAAGTTGCCAGTTGTCGAAGGCAAAGTGCATCACAGCTTCTGTGTATCCACAGATGACGCAGCTTCGCCTATTAGCTGTCAATCCATCAAACACGCTCTTTCCAATCTCTGGGTTAATATCAGCTTCTTGGGACAGGGCGTTTAAGCCACGATCTCGGAGGCCCTCCTTGTCCACATTGATCGTCTCATTCTTGATGCACTCTGACACAAGCTGGAAGAGCTCTTGGGCATCTTGATGTTCTCGAGAATTGAAGAGGGAATTGAAACGCGCTGACGACGGAGAAGACAGCACGGATATGAGATCGAGTGGTCGTATAGAGGACGGCGCTGACGTCTGGGTATTCAAACCTAGAAAGAAGGTACGAGATTGGTGGTTCTCAGCATGTAACCATGGAAATGTTACGTACGATGAAAGAGGTCTTGAAGGGTGTCGATAACAGGGGTGGGGACATCTAATGCTTCGGCCTTGGAATGAATAGCATCGATCTGAGGCTGGAGATATGATAATGAAGATAGAGCCTACGGTTGTTCCCGGTCAAACAAATAACACCGAGACCTCGTTGCATGCATACCTGGACCGTTGAATTCATGAAGCAATAGGTTCCCGAGATATTCACAAGACCAGGGTAATAGCCATCATCAACGGCTTCTTCTGATGGACAGTTAACGAAAGAGATTATTGCAGAAAGAGATCGTACCAGTCTTTACCGATACAAGTTCTGTCTTTCCCTTTGACTTTTTACTCTTTCTCTTTTCATGGTGATGGTGCGCCGGGCGTCCGTTGGCAGGAACCGCGCCTCCGTTGTCCGTATTGGAAAACCAATTCCATGGCATTGAAAAACCAAGACTTTCGAGGCCCATAACGAAAGGGTAATGTGGCGTAGCGAATGTAAGTTTGGAGGTAATTAAGAACACTAGCACTGGCACTAGGGAAAGCACGACGAAAGGAACGATTTGCTGGAATAAGCTAGATGATATCGTCTGCAGAAATGTGTCGCGGAAGGTGAAGGCATTCATAGAGCCCCTACTGCTAATGTCATGGGAGGAAGGCCAAGTTTTGCATGCAGGGGTAACGGACGAAATCGATGACGTTTGTTCATATTACGTAAACTAGAGTCGTGGCGCCAAGTCACCGTGCCTTCGAATCCTGATGAGAGCAAATTTCTGCTATCACGCCAATCTCTGCCGGAGACACCCTGTATGCTAGCGGCCCCTCGCACTGCACTATTCTGTTTTCGTCCATTTACAACAAATGCTGCTCTTTTATCCGCAAAACATTTGGCTAGTGACAGACTCTTTGCAGATGCGGCTCGAGAAGAAACAGCATCACCCCAGCAAAAGTCGTCACCTCTTACGGCCCTAGAGAATGAGCCCGACAACTGGACAGGAAACGAAAGTATGCAAGATGCCGTGCTTCGTATGCTTATTGACAAATACAAGCCTTTGCGGAGCGGTACCATACAGTCTGCAGACCAGAAACTGAAACGAACACCGCCTGCAATCAGCTCTACTGGGGCATTTAATGGCGCTATGGAAGAGTTTCAAGCTGTATCTAAGGGGAATGCCCCATCTTCACCCAAGCTGTTGCAGCCTTCTACAGGTTCATGGGCAACAGAGCCTTTACTTCCGTCGACGGAAGGACATAGGCCATGGCATACCGAATTCAAGGTCCCTTCTCATGTCAGCGCTTCCGTCAAAGTTGCCCATTTTCCTTTGCAATCTTCGCGCCCATCAGCCCGAGCCGACTCTGTTGATGAACTCGCGAGGAAAAAAGAGAAAGATTCGAAGAAGCGGATCGAGCATATCGGGAGGCTGAATCGCGCACGAGAATCTACTTTAGACTATCGTCTCGGGATCAAGAAGGGGATGGGAAGACGGCCGAATCCTGTCAGTCTGAAAGGATGGGCTTCGCTGGTCGAAGACAAGATAGAGGTATGTTCTCAACTGCACATCAAACATGTCTCGTACCCTCTGTAAAAAGCCCGTATTGCCGGTGTCTTCAATACTATCAAGGGCCGCGGTCAACCTATGGCCCGAACTGTCGAAGAGAGCAATCCATTCATTGGCCGTGAGGAGTTTCTCATGAACCGTATAGTTCAACGAAACGGGGCGGCACCTCCATGGGTTGAGCTGCAAGGGGGTAAAATATCTTGTACCATGCAGCCGTATTCAGTATCTGATGTGTTGTCATTATCTAGAGCTCGATATAGCCGTCCAGTCATTTCGAGATCTCTTGCGCCAGTCTTGGATTCGCCAAACCCTTCGCGACCTCACCACCCACCACCCGGCTCCGATACTTGCCCAATTCACCATAAGCGATGTGAGACGCCATAGAGACCCTGATTGGGAACTCCGGGAACTCACGTATCATGACGCCGCTGTGGAGGAGGTAAACGCGTTAGTCCGGAAGTATAACGGGCTAGCGCCGTACGCTGTGCGGCGGCCCTATTACGATCGAAGCGTAGAAATAGGGAAGCTGTATGAAGACTGCGCAGGTGAAATTATGAAACAGCTGGCAGAACGAATGAACTGTGTGCACGGCAGTGGATATCGTCCGGGGATAGAACATGAAGCTGGGGAGGTGGTTAAAAGGATTGGGCTCAAAGAGCTTTTCCTTGCTTGGTGGTATAGGTTGGTCGGCTTGTGGAATTCGTACACCTAATCATCCCACATAACATAGGTAGATATATAATATTGGTTAATGCGTTCGGGGAACAGATGTCATTACAGAGCAGTGATGAGGGCTCAATTTCGACAGGTATTATGTGCTTTGTTCTCTTCCTTTGTCGCAGTACTCACATGTATTTTTTTAGGCACCTGCCGTTGCGAATATAGCAGTCAGTTCAAGAATGATAATAACAAAAAGATGACCACGAGCACCATCATGATCCCAATGAGACAGGCCGAATGGCAGAAAGAGAGGAACAGATGGCGGACGTCATCCCCACTGCTGCATGACCGTCGACTTGCAGTCCATTCGAGGTCACACTCTGCTCATCGCACATCCTCCCACGGGTCTCAATAGACGCCGTTTTGCTGGCACGTCGAAAGTGTGCGCAACGTCCTCGCACCATGGGCAATCCACCCCAATCCTGTTATCTCGTCGGAGGAGATGGGAGTCAATCGGCATCCTCCACCATCCTATCATGCCCACCAACATCAATCCATGATGGGCGCCTCCAGTGGCCACATTTGTCTCCACAATATACGACATCACAGGGCAAACATATGGGCTGAAGGAGGAGGGGACTATTCCCGGAAATCTTCGGCTTCTATGTCAATGGAGTCAGATTTTTGGTGTGACCGTTGTTATCTGTTGTTCCAGCATTTATGTCAGTGTTACTTGAAACTTCTGTCAGTGACCTCGTCATTGATTCAGAAGTGGAAACATGTCCAAAAACATGTGAGAATTTTCTCAAACTTTGTAAAGTACACTATTACACCCTCGGTACCTTTTCCCATAGTACGTCCATTATCCTTCTTTACTGCTATCCTTACGTTCTCCTTAGTTTCCAAGGGATTTTTTGCGCAAGCAGGCGATCCCAGTGCAACGGGTACCGGGAGAGAATCAATATGGTCTCTCATCGCGTCACAATCCCTTTCCAATGCGTCTGCACCTCGATGTTTCTCCCCGGAACTCCATCCGGGGCTCAAGCATACGCACAAAGGGACTGTATCTATAGCAGTCGGTTCAGGAGCCCAAGGAATGCGAAGGGGCTGCGCGAGCCAGTTCTTCGTCACGCTTTCCGATAACATCGACTTCTTGAATGGCGAACATGCTGTTTTCGGGCATGTTGTTGAAGGACCGGATACCCTGGATAGGCTGAATGATATCTCCGTTGGTCCGAATGGGCGACCGTTAGAAGATGTGCAGATTCGACGTGTCGTTATGGTAAGTACGTGCATTTTGTCTTGCTTTGAAAAGTTTTGTTAAGTACACTGTTCCACAGACGATCCGTTTCCTGATCCTCGGGGATTGGTCCTGCCATCTTCACCTCCCACACAATCACTATCTACTCGCTCTCAGGTTATGGATGTCCCTCGAAACAGCAAGTGTCCTCTTTGCTTTTGTTGTCGGCCATCACCTGCTCATTTACGGCACGTTGGTTTAGAGAAAAGCGAATGGCCTAGCGGACTTCGCCATGGCCTGCGGACCTCTAAGCTTCGTCAAGCGAACCTAAAAGCGCACGAGAGAGGGCTCTTGATCGTATGTGTTGGACACCGAATACTACGCGCGACCTAACCGCTCCTAGGGTTCGGACCACCCTGTGAAAACTGCGAGAGGATTTCTAGATGCTGCCTCGTTCGTGTATATTCTATGTTCACCAAATGTGGGGAATGCATGTTTGTCAAGAGAAGAGTCTGCTCTCTTACCTCTATCTCGAAGGATTCACAACAAAGATGGGAACTATCTGATGGTGAGGATCTGATAGTTCTTTGTATGTTTAATCCTCCCTCTAACATTTGGGTAGGGAAGGACGGGAAAAACGCATTTGTAATGATTCCCGAGGGCATCGTCACCGAATACAAGAGACAAGGTGCTGTATTCGCTGTTGCATAGTGGAGCGTGCTACGAAGGGAATGCGCACCTGTTGAGCCTGACCACCATCCCGGCAAGCATACTTGCCGTCGAATATCGTCTTTCAACGGAACGCGAACGTGTTCTCTGCTGCACTGCTCGGTGAGATGGTGGGATATCATTACCTGGTCAACGTCCATATATCTCCTAGCGATGCTGTCGCGAGGGAGACTCTGCTGAGGGGAGAGTCCCCCTCTCTCGAACAAGACAAATCTCCCCGTGTCATTTTCATTGCTGTAATGTGGGGTTATATTACCCGTGCTGCTATCGTAGAACATTCTAAAGTTCGCGGACTATGATTCCGAACGTAAGTATACGTTGACCCAGACACCATGGATGAAGAGCAAGGAGCCGCAGGTGGTTGACGACTCAAGAGACCCAAAATTCAGTTCTAGAGTTCAAGTTTGGCCAATGAGAGCCGAGCTTTATTGAAGGTGAACCAGAACCTGAAAACCCAGAAAATTTCCGACGACCGCGAAACCTGACACATGCTATGCTTTATGACTTGTCTGTTCAGTCCCATGCGCGGGTTCGCGATAGCCTGAACGCGGCGATACAGAGTATATGTCTCTGAGAGAAAGAATAGCGACGAGAGAAAGGGAAGCGAGGGCGTCGAGGACGTCATCTGTAAACCATTCCCATGAAAGACCCGATATATGGATGAGAGTGACTTTGGTGAGGAATTCGTCTGCGTGCATGTCCCAGAAAAATTTAGGTCCGAGTTCACAAAGGCCACGCTGTCTGTGCAGCTGCATCCAGAGGAATTGAGACAAGAGTTGTAAAGCGTCTCTGTATGGTGAGGACCTGATAGATGAACGTCTCGAAACAAATAATATCGAGAACGATAACGGAATGCCCGCCGCAGCAGAGAACATCATCCTCAAAAAAGCAATCGACCATTTGTCCCTAACTTCTCGGGGGAGCGAGTGTGGCTTCTTCAACTGTAGACTTATTTTAGAGGACCTTTGTTCAAGTCGGACTCGTGACTGCATTCGGAAATGGAGGTGCGCGTTGTATTGCCCTGTTTGCAGCAGAGCCTCTTCCTCTTCCTGCCGTCGCCCCGAAAGAATCTGGCCCCTGAGGACCACTTGTATGTCGGTGTTACTTGAAACTTCTGTCGGCGACCTCGTCATTGATTTAGAGGTGGAATCATGCCCAAAAACATGCGAGAATTTTCTCAAACTGTGTAAAGTGTACTATTACAACCTCCACGCCTTCTTCAACGGTACGTGTGTTATTACTTACCAACGCCAATTCTTACGCTCTCCTTAGTTTCCAAGGACTTTTTAGCGCAAGCGGGAGATCCAAGTGCAACAGGTACCGGAGGAGAGTCAATATGGTCTCTCATCGCGTCACAATCTTCTTCCAACGCGTCCGCACCTCGATATTTCTCCCCGGAGATTCTTCCCAAGTTCAAGCATACACACAAAGGGACTGTGTCTATGGCAGTCGCTCCAGGAGTCGAAGGGGGTGAAAGGGGGGGCTGTGGGAGCCAGTTCTTCGTCACCCTTGCCGATAATATCGACTACTTGGATGGCAAGCACGCTGTTTTCGGGCACGTTGTCGAAGGGTTGGATACGTTGGATAAATTGAACGATGTCTTCACGGACCAGGATGGGCACCCGTTAAAAGATGTACGGATCCGACATGTCGTCATCCTAGGTGCGTCTTGCCACGTTACATTTTTGTTAAGCTCACTATTCTACAGATGACCCGTTTCCTGATCCTGAGGGCTTGGTCCAGCCGTCTGCTCCCCCTACACGGCCGCCAGATAATTCTAATCGTATTGCGGAGGACGAGGATCCGCTATTTCAACTGCCGGAGGAAGAAGAGGAACGTATCAGACGTGAAAAAGCAGCAGCGGCATCGGCGCTTACTCTTGAGATGGTCGGAGATCTGCCATTCGCCAATGTCCGCCCTCCAGAAAATGTGTTATTCGTGTGCAAGCTTAACCCTGTAACTCGAGACGAGGATCTGGAACTGATATTTTCACGGTTCGGGACTATCATGAGTTGCCAGGTTATCCGGGACAAGAAAACCGGAGATTCACTGCAGTACGCATTTGTGGAATTTGATAGGCGTGAGGATGCGGAACAGGTGCCGTTTATACATTAAGCTTCTGGGGCTTCATTAAATCGTGTTTACAGGCCTACTTCAAAATGCAAAATGTGCTTGTCGATGATCGACGTATATGGGTCGATTTGTGCGCCATTTTTGAAGTTTCTCTACCACTACTGACGATAATTCGGCAGCTCTCAATCCGTCGCCAAATCGAACAACTTCTGGTCCAACGATATCAAGCGAGGTCCGAAATATAGCAAGGGAGGCAGCGGGTTTGGTGGGCGTGATGATCTTGTGAAGACGCAGCGATATCGCGACAGCGAGGGCAGCCATGACAGACATGGATACAGGATGGTGTTCGATGTACCATCCAATGGAGGTGATCACAGAAGAAGACGTCGAAGCAGAAGTCGAGACAGAGACCGTCGTCGGTCCCGAAGTCCCAGACCGGACCGTGACCGCCGAAGACGCGATTACTGATTGTTATCGATAGACATCTCTCCTACCACCATCATCATGTCGTCGCACACACAATCCGTTCTTGAATTCAATTTCTCCGATGCTGATATCATTCTCGTTGGTGGAGATGACCAGAAGAGACGATTTGCGGTGCACAAGTGTATCTTGTCGGCTGCCTCTCCGGTCTTCAAAGACATGTTCATGCTGCCACAACCCAAAGTTATCGGTGACGCTCTACCTGTTATAAACATGACAGAGTCTTCGAAGATTCTGTCTGTATTTCTGCAGTTCATCTACCCCGTTCCTAACCCCACCATTTCCTCTTTGGAAGAACTCGTCCTTGTCCTCGAGGCTGCGAAAAAACTAGATGTCGATGTTGCCATTGACTCCCTTCGCAAGCAGCTCATTCACTCCAATAATGTCGATAATGAGCCTTTGCGTGTTTACGCCATCGCTGCGCGATTCGATCTCCAGGAGGAACTTAAAGTTGCAGCCAAGTACACGCTGAAAAAGAATGTCCTTGACTGTCCATTGTCCAAGGACTTGAAGTACATTACCGCCTATGATTATCATCGGTTACTTGATCTGCATCGCCGCCACTCCCGTGCTATGCAGGCCGCACTCTTACCTAAACGATATGCTTGCAGCGGACATAATTGTAATCCGGCAAGATGGTGGACCGCCTTTGTAGAGGCGGCCAACAAGGAACTATCTGAAAGGCCCAGCACCGATATCATTTTCCAGCCGGAATTTCTCTTGCGGTGCCTTCCTCCCCAAAACTACTGCAGCCTTTGTGCCTACTCAGCGCTTCGTTCTTATCCGGATTTTCTCATACTGAAAAAGAAAATTGATGAACTTCCGTTCACAGTATAAGGGATGCTGAGGAGACTGGGGGGATCTTTGTAGCATTTTACTCCTCGTTGCTCTCCACGAGGATAATGAAGATGTTTACGTCTGAAATACCGCGTCTGCTGAAGGTCAATGCGGCTCAGGTAAGAATATCGTATGGTCCTCGACAAGATCCGGCACTAGCTAGTTAGTATTTGTCGGAGGTGCTCCACGTCCGCTGATCTCCTTTCTAAGCGCGTCCGACAATACCGTGACCGTTATTCTGCTTTCCCTTCCCTTTTTACACACCTCACATCGACTCGTGACTTTCTAGATAGCGAGCCTCTCTTCTTCTAGACAGTCTCGATTATATAGAGCATACCGTGGTCCATGTGCTGGGAAGATCGGGATAGCTGTCCAAGGCCCTTGATGAAGAAGAATGTCCTCCACATTATCGCTTACGATTACCATCGGTTGCTAGACGTATACCATCGTCATTTGCATGCCATGAAGAACGCACTATAACCTGGTCGATATGGTAGTTGTTACAATTGTCGCTCATCTTGGAGCCGGCATCCATCTCGCTAGCATTCCTCTCTCGATGAAATGTACCATTTGTGCTTAGTCAGCGCTTTTGGCTTATACAGATCTTCTCAATCTGAAAAGCCAAATTGATCAACTTTTCTTCACAGTATAAGGGATGCTGAGAAGACCAGGAGTATCTTTGTAGCATTTTACTTCTTGTTGCTCTTGTCGAGGGTAAATGACAGTTGAAATACCAAGTGAATGACGGAGGACGGGCCGTGGCGTAGATGTGTCGATGGCTCTCCGCTGATCCTTCCTATCTGAGCGCGTCCTGCCTTTAGCGTTATATTTATACCGTGACTCGTTATTCTGCTTGATTCTTCCCTCCCATTTCCACACAATCAAAGCAATGGCCTCACCTCAGCTTGCGACCTTCCAGATCCCAGATATTCAAAATGAGCCCATGGTATGTGCCCGTCTGCTTCGACAACGGCGACGCTGATATATTTTCAGAAAACTTATGCACCTGGTTCACCAGAACGACATGCACTGCAGGCTGCGATTGACCAGATGCAGCAGGAATTGCCATTTGAAGTACCTTGCATTATCAATGGAAAGCCTGTAAGCCTCTAATTCGAGGTGATCATCTCATGAGTGGTGCTGATGTTCGCTTAGGTGAAAACCGGAAAGCTAGCAAAGCAACCTCTACCCCATGACCATGCCAACCATCTCTGCACATACCACGAGGCGGATCCTGCGACGGTAGCGAGTGCCATCGACGGAGCCCTCGCGGCTAAAGCTGGATGGGAGAGCATGCCATGGGCAGACCGTGCTGCCATCTTCCTCAAGGCTGCCGATCTCGTCAGCGGCAAGTATAGGTACAAGCTGATGGCTGCTACTATGCTCGGGCAGGGAAAGAACCCATGGCAGGCTGAGATCGATGCTGCTGCAGAGGTGCGACTTTGCGCACGCCCAACTCTTCTTTTCGCTGATCTTGTTCCGATTCTAGCTGACAGATTTCCTGAGGTTTGGAGTCAAGTATGTGAGTGAGCTGTATGCCCAACAACCTCCAAGGAACTCTCCAGGTGCATGGAAGTAAGTTCTGCTTGGAGTGAGACATCAGCTTCTATACTTACGCCGTGCCTCTCCAGCCGCATCGAGTATCGGGCTTTGGAAGGCTTCGTATTCGCCGTCACGCCATTCAATTTTACGGCTATTGGTGGCAACCTTGTCGGTGGTACGTCTTCTTCTTCTCGAAAGTCGCGTTGAGCCTCACGGTTCAACCCTAGCTCCCGCTCTCGTCGGTAACGTTGTCGTCTGGAAACCCTCACCTGCTGCTACTTACTCCAACTACATCGTGCATCAAATCTTGACAGAGGCAGGTATTCCGCCTGGTGTCATCCAATTCGTTCCGGGCCCTCCACCGGAAGTTTGTGCCCAGGTTCTCAGTCACAGGAGCTTCGCTGGTCTCCACTTTACCGGCAGCACGTTCATTTTCAAGAAGCTTTGGAAAGACATCGCCGCTAATCTGGACGTGTACAAGGGGTACCCGCGGATCGTGGGTGAGACGGGAGGCAAAAACTTCCATATTGTCCACGAGTCGGCAGAAACAAAGAACGCTGTTCTGCAAACTATCAGAGGTGCATTTGAGTATTCAGGTTTGTGTTGTTTCCTAGTTCGCCGAATCCCGGAGCTCACGAGCCGTTAATCAGGCCAAAAGTGTTCTGCGCTGTCCCGACTTTATGTTTCATCATCCGTATGGAAAAATGGGTTCAAAGACCTACTCCTGGAGGAGGTTGCCAAAATTCGTGTTGGAAGCCAGCTTGATTGGAGCAATTTCTTGGGCCCTGTCATGTACGATTTTCTCGTCTGCTTTTGGTACAACTGGATTGAGAGAATACATGCAGTGGTCGACCTGCCTACGACAAGATCACAGGCTACATTAAAAAGGCCAAGGAGACTGGCGGTGAGATCCTCATCGGCGGTAGCGGTTCGTACATGCGATTAATTCAGCATGCATGCACTCATTGATCATCCATCCAGGTGATGATTCCAAGGGTTACTTCGTGCAACCTACTGTGATCCTTAGCAAAGACCCCAAGTCAGTTACTCTCGTCGAGGAGATTTTTGGTCCGGTGTTGACTGTACGTATCTACGACATGCTAGTGCATGCCCTTCTCTGACATTCTCTCAAGGTCTTCGTGTTTGAAGATGCTGATTTTGAAAAAACACTCGACCTCATCGATGAAAGCACCGAATATGGCCTCACAGGGTCTATGTGAGTTTCCATCAGCCCCAAGACAAAGCGAAATCGTGCCGATGATTTTTTTTTCTTCCTAGATTCGCCTCTGACCGGAAAGCCCTGATAAAAGCTGACAACAAGCTCCGCAATGCTGCCGGTAACGTGTATTACAACGAAAAGTGCACCGGAGCTGTTGTTGGGCAGCAGCCGTTTGGCGGTGCCCGTGCTAGTGGGACGAACGATAAGGCGGGGAGCATCAGTATTTTCTATCGCTTCATAAGCGCGAGGAGTATCAAGGAGAACTTTGTTGGGTTAGACGATTTCAAGTATCCTTCGAACCTGGTGTAAGAAGGAAAAGAGGTGAAGTTGTAAACCCCGTCTTGTATCGTTTACATTGTAAAAAATATAACAACTTGTGTATGAATTAGTACCTGTTTTTGATCGGCAGCTTGAGGGGGCTTGAGGTCGTGGTGTTCTTAGGGGAACTGGGAGAGGTGACGGTGTATTGAGGTGAGACGTCTGCGCCTGTCGCGGTTTATGGTATTAAACTCTGTCTTTTTCAAGGACGCTAACAAGACCTACTATCCGACTATCCGGATCTCAAAATAATCCTCGAAGACATATCGGAACGACATTAGTGGGACCAGAGAGCCCACGATTCACATCAAGTGGTAGACAGTGTGTTCAATGCTCCGCTCCACAGTACGTACGCTTAATTTTCGGCGTTGGAAATCTTAATGTGATTAGACTCAATACACAGGTACAGGTTCGCTGAATTAATGGTTCACAAGTTTGATCTGCCAAGCCCTCTTGACGCTAAAATTATCACAATCTTTCCGGATTACAAGGCACTGGTAGCCCATCTTCGGAAAATTAGTCGTCATGACGCCTCAACTTCGGCTCGCCCGACAATCTACTGTCTCAAGCAGACCGGTCTCTTCAGCTGATCTTCTTTGTGGGCGGTATTTAAAGGACACTGGCATCGAGTCGATCCCCCAGTTGCTCAGTATGAAGCTCGTATTATACATCCTTACCGCAGCGGCGGTCGCTAATGCCCACTGTGAGTGTTCATCTCCTCGATAATATCGTTCAATGATTGACAACGCTCTGATAGTCACCTTGCAGTATGTGTGGATAAACGGCGTACGCAGCGCCCCCGCTCCATGCCACCAGAACTGATCCCTGCTTGGTTCACCAGGTTGATCAAGGCCAGAATACGTTTCTTCGTGTTCCTCCAAACAATTACCCGGTGACGGATGTGACGTCCACTGACCTCACCTGCAACGTGAATGGACTTTCTGGCACGGGTGTCGAAACTGCAACTATTCCCGCCGGTGCAAACATCACGTATGTGCGATTCGCAAATTTCTTTTTTGGAGAAGGGTTGGTATTGAAGACATTGTTCATTTACAGGTTTGAGTGGCACCAGCATGCTGAGCGAACAGGTGAACCTGCCATCTCTCCGGGACACAAGGGACCGGTGCAAGTCTACATTGCCTCTGCGGCTTCGGCGGGCTCAGCTGCAGCCTTCGAAGGACAAGGCTCCGTATGGACCAAGATTTATTCTTCTGGTCTTTTGGATCCTGAAACTATGTGGTGGGCGAGTGATGTCGTTAACTCTACCAACGGTAAGAATTTGAGCGCGAAAAGGTGTCCACGGCTTACAATGATGTCTGTAGGCAAACACAGCTTTATAGTCCCCTCGTCGCTTCCTGCTGGGGAATATCTCATTAGGGGAGAGATCGTACGTGATTCATTCGAAACTAGCAACGCTTCCTGCACTTGCTGAGGTATATATTGCTCTGGCAGCTCGCGCTACACGTCGCTGAAAGCTACCCTGGAGCCCAGTTCTACATTGGTAAAGTCCGTTATTTCGAACTCTACGCACGGGAAACTGATTTTTTTTTTCTCGGACGAAGGGTGCGCCCAGGTAAATATCGCCAGTGGTGGAACCGCAATTCCGCCGACTATAGCTCTTCCGGGAGCCTACAAGGGCTCCGACCCTGGTATCACTGTGCGTACCAGCTGTAGTCATCGACTCTTCATGCACTAATACGCCATTGCAGGTGAACATATACAACAATTTGCAGAATTACACTGCTCCTGGTGGAAGCGTCTGGTCAGGGTGAGTACTAGGGTTCTGGTAATCAGTGACCTGTTACTAACATCAGTTAATGTTAAATAGTGCTGATGAACCATGTTAGAAGACGACTCCAACACCTATTGCGGGAGTTATCAACGATATCCTAGCACTGAGCACCACGTAGGACGGGTTCTCGCTTCTTGAACTTGCATGATATACGGAATACCCTTGACCTGTTAATTTGTACATAGTTCTCAAGCTGCTAGTTGAACTTGTGTCCACTGAATTGCCCTGCCTTTGAGAGATATCATGATGGATTATGGCCGGCTGGGCTCTGTGCCCCCAATATGTATTCATGATAGTTGGAAATAGAGCTTCTGTGTAAGACTTGGAGGCTGTTTATGAAAATGTTCGGGTATCACGTATTTCGTCTTGAGAGAGCAGGAGGAGAAGTCGGCGAAGCTCGCTTTAATACGGTGATTTCTTTTAGAGTATGCTGCTAGTTTCTCCAGGTCAAAGGAACTCCATGTCACACAATAGAGGGTTAGTAGATTGGAAACACGGCCATCGTAGTAAAGGCCTCATCACATCTGTTCATTTATAACTGTCAAAGGACTTCGCCGGTCACGCTCATCGGTTGCTTATTATCTACTGCTCGTCACGCCAGGAGTCTGGTTAATGAGCACAGGCTATACTTTGCCATCTGACCCTCAGCATGGAATACCGCAGGACTGTCCTTACAATAAAAAAACAATAATTGCCAGTGGGCTAACTGACTGTTTGTTGACTGTTGAAGCGAAATATCGGCAAAATGGTCAAAGTAGCTTCTGTAACAACCCATATGAACTTCAATGGGATAAGGTTGATATCTAAGGATATCTTATACTTAAACCTCACTTCGAATCTAATTGTTCTTCCTGTTTGTTGATACGCGAACTGCCAGTCGGCAACGCGAACTCAATTTATCGAGTCTTGTGTGCTCACGTGCTCCATTTTTTTCTTGCATTTCAATTTGGGTCTTCTTTCTTTACGGTCACCGACGTCCAATCGCCCGCTCTTCCCCACTGGAAATGCTTAGACTGTTGAGAAGCAGCAGGCCTCTTTTCTACGCCAGGACCAAATCCATGAATCGCTTCCCTCCGATACAATTAACTCGTCGCGGTATGGCATCAGCCGTTGGGGACACGTCTGAACGGACTTTCAAGAGCCTTTCTATCTCTGAGGTGTCCAAATCTGCGATAAAACATGAGTATGTTGTTAAAACTTTCTATCCGTTACACAAGCTCAGTATATTCCGCTTAGATTCATGACCCAGGTTCAAGGTTAGCAGGAACTCAACTTGACACGGGGCTTTTCTCATTACTAGTGTCATGAAAAGCCGAAACAATTGACGTGCGTGTACTGATGACTTCACGGGACTCCACTTGCTAATACCTGCGCACAGCACGCACTGACCGGTCAAGATCTTCTTGTACAAGCCAGAACCGGAACCGGTAGATCAACATCCTCATTCCTGAGAATCTATGTTAACGCGTACAAGGGAAAACCTTGGCCTTTTTGCTTCCTGCCATTGAGACTCTATCAAAGAGCAAGTTACGCAAAGGTGTTTCAATCTTGGTGCTCTCACCAACTCGGGAATTGGCGATCCAGGTGTGTATCGTCGAGTTGAGTTAGTTTGCGATACCTGGAGCTCAATGCTTCCTTTCTCCCTTCTCAGATTGCTAGGGAGGCAGAGACCCTCGCCCACCCTCACGGCTTGAAAGTCTTCACCGTATATGGTGGCACCAAGTAAGTGTCAACTCTATTCAGCGAATCCGCTCCTCATCCATATTAGCCCTCGAGCAGAGCTTTCTAAATTCAACAGCCGTGGCTGCGATATCCTCATAGCGACTCCTGGTCGTCTGGTTGACCACCTGGAAAATCAGGGTTTCCACCGGCATCTCTCCGATCTCAAGGTCTATATCTTGGACGAGGTCGACCGGTTGTTGGATGTTGGATTTAAGCCGCAGTTGGACAAAATTCAGAACTACCTGCCTAAAACTCCCAGGCAGACTCTCCACTTCTCTGCCACGTTAAGTAAGGACGTCCAACAGGTCAGTCAGAGTCGTATCTTTGCTCGAAGTTGCTGTGATACTCAAGTTCGTCTAGATTGCCAAATCGCAGCTCAGAGAAGGTTTCAAATTCATCAACACGATTCATGAGGATGAACGACCTACTCACGAGCACGGTACGTTCCAAGCTCAGTGCATTTTTTGGGTTTTGCTCACGTGAGACCTCGACAGTCGAGCAATCTCATATAATTGCTCCCTTCTCACACCACCTTCCGACTCTACTTCACTTAATTAGAGAAGACCAAGATATGAACAAAGGTTCATCGAAACAGGTCATCTTTTTCCCGACTGCCCGCCACGTCGATGCCGCGTTCCACGCGCTGTCAAATATCGTCGGCCTTCCAACGCTCACTTCAATGCACTCTCGGCTGAGTCAGAAGGCACGCGAACGCAGCTCTGACAAGTTCCGAAGTGAGCCCAGCGCGATTCTGCTTTGTTCCGACGTAGCAGCCAGAGGTGTTGATTTTCCCGGGTAATGACTCTCAATCATCTCACGATGTCAACGTTCTAACGTTTCTCCTTGAAGGGTCACTGCAGTCTTCCAAGTTGGCCTCCCTGTAAACGGAGAGCAATATATCCATCGCTTAGGAAGAACAGCTAGGGCTGGTGCAGCTGGTCGTGGTACATTGATCCTCGATCCAGACGAACAATCTTTCCTCAGTAACCGGGCGCTGCAAGGAATCTCCATCCCTCAAAAAGAATCACTTCCCAATGAGATGCTCGAGTCTCTACTAACGGTCACAAATGAGGCTCTTGTTAAGATCGATGATAAGGTCAAGGAGCAGGCTTACAGGGCCTGGCTGGGATACTACAACTCAAACCTCAAGACGACAAAATGGAATAAGGTGGAACTGGTGAAGAAGGCGACCCTGTATGCCCAGGAGTGTCTGGGATGGACAGAGGACCTCCCTCCATCGCTGGAGGCTAAAACGGTTGGTATGATGCACTTGAAGAACGTTCCAGGGTTGAATATCGGACGTAGAACTCCTTAATGTATTTGACAAACTTACTGCACCTCACTCAGTCGATACGCATGCTATATATCATTATTCTGTAGATGATAGATCTAATAGACATATATTGGGTATTTACACTAAGTCGATAAATTATCTTAGGTTGTATCGTGCGGCACCAAGCCAGGCCTAATCGGCAAGCCAGGCTAGTGCAACGGTCGGCCGAGGTGTTATGCGACAGTTGAACGGCTTAATATGCCTGTGGATTTAAGTCAGGTCGTGTCAAAGATAGCCAAAGGTTCTGACATACGAGACTGTCGCGTTGGACCACTCGATCTGCGGCTCTACCACCCGTTTTTGTGCGTCTAATGCTTTGCTGATGTTGAAGGTAGCAAGGATATTGGAGATATTCAGAAAGAGAGACAGCTCGGCCAGATGAGCGCCTACGAAGTGAGAGAGAGAAAGAGAGAGATATATATAAGAACTTAAAGGATATGCTTGATAGCCCTGAATTGCTTACCGGGACACACTCTACGACCGAAACCCCAGACGAACTTGTACGGGTCTGTCTCAGGATGCGGTCCCATGTGCCGCTCCGGTCTGAACGTATGTGGGTCAGGATATAGTTCAGAATCGTGCGTAATTCCCCTGTAAATACGACTGAGGATCTATGAGAAGACGCGAAGGTAATCGATTTACGAACCATATGTTTGCAATGACGGTGGCGCCCTTGGGGATATGATACCCTAAGTACACATCGTCCTCCTTGACACGGTGACGAAGGCCTACACGTGGGCATCAGAACGATGCTTATGCAAACCAAGTGAGAAAGAACCCACCTAGAGGTGCGACTGGTCCCCATCGAATGATTTCTTTGATGAGAGCATCAATGTAAGGCAAGTAACCTCTGTCATCCAGCATAGGGAGGCGGTCGGTTCCAATGACTTCTTCGATCTCGGCTTGTGCAAGCGCTTGTACATCAGGGTACATCGTCATGAGATAAAAGAAAGACGTCATTACAGAAACGGTCTATGACAATCGTGAGCTTCCTGATAACCGTGCAGATAAGTATCGCTTACGGTGTCTGCGCCCCCAATATAAAGGGCTGCACTACACCATTTGATAGCTTCTTCTTCTTCTTCTCCAGGTGTTTCGTGACCCTCACGTTGTAGGAAGTGAGAAACGAAGGAGTCGTTGTGATTGCCAGAGGCCTGTCGGAATTTTTGTCAATAATTGCGTCGAAGAGGTTCGATGAAGAGACAAACAATGAGGTTCTTTGCCCAGTTGTACGTGAAAGATTCGACATCCATCGATTTATGTTCCCGAGCAATTCGCTTGAAATCGACGAAGGGGAACCATTCTGGCAGATATTGCACTAGAGTCATGAAATTTTTTTAAGTAATAAAAGTGAAAGGAGACCAGACGAGGCTCACGAAAGGGAATGAAGTCGACAAGGTAGGGACGACTCAGATGCTTCTCGGTTTCTTGGAAGAAGTTTTCGATGCGATCAATGAAGTCGTCGCTACCGGTCGACACTTCGTAACCGTAGGCAACCTTCAGGACCATTCCCGCCGCATTCCTGTTTGAAAGGTAAGATTCGCCTGTCAGATCTGATGCCGATTGCAAGAAAACTCACCTCCTCAGATGAGAGATAAAGTTTTCCGGCGTTTCCAACAGATTCTTGAGAAGTGTATTGAGCTCGCGCTCTTGGATTGGCCTGTAGGTACGCGTGATGCGAGGGTTCAGACCGGAATGGAGCATCTTGCGGTATGACCGGAATTGAGGGTGGTCATAGGGGATATGGAAGGCGCTACGAGCTCGGCCGGCTAAAGCACCCATGACCCAGACTGGTCGATCAGAGTATAACGCCGAACGAGATTCTAGCAGATCTGTGGCGGCCTTTCCGGTGTTCAGAATGATGGTTGTCTGCCCAAACAGCGGAGATAGGTAAGAGGACCTGCAAAGATTGAGTCTTGGAATACCTCTAGGTAGGTGCACGCATACCATAAAGCTTTGCCCAGGAAGCATATATTTTCCATGCGTGAATTACAGGCAGTTGGAAATAGTTGCCTATCCAGAGCCATTTGGGCGGTCCCGGAGGCAAAGGGAAACGAGAAACTTTGTTCGCGTATTTGTACGCGATATAGGAGACTACAGCGACGAGGAAGATACAGGGAAGGGAGAAATCAGGCATCTGAAAAGGGAGCTGATTTGGAGATGGGGGGATAGCAACAGACGGTAACTCTAGCATTTATAGCCGCAAATTTTCCTCAAGAATCGCATGGCTATAATAACAGAACGATGACTTCGCACAAGTGAGCAGTATCGACTTGTGCGTTGCAACGTTTCCGTGGAGTTCGAACGCCATGGCCTCCCCTGCTGGCAGGGTTCCTCGTGATCCGTTTAACGGTTCGAGACGTACTATCTCGGACTTGGTGCCTTGCCCATATCCACGGATGCGAGCTGCATTCATCGCCGATACACGTCATTCGCTTAGCCAATTTGTCTCCGTCAAATCAAGCTCAAAGTTGACCTTTGCTTGATCGATTGAACCCTGTACGAGACAGCTTCAAGTTGGCTATCTTAGCGATGACGACTTCATTGTTTTCAGTCCATTTTACTTATCGTGGCTCCGAGAGAGCTTTTGGTGATGAAGAGAACTGCGGGATCATACGTTAGTCTGTTACGTGCTTGGAGTAAGCGGAAGTTCGGATCGTCAAGCTAGTATTGGAGTGCTAGTAACACCCCTGTACCGTCGCGTATGCTGATCCGAGTGCAGATATGGTCTGGCCAGAGCCGAGGAAGAGAAGGTGCAAAGAAGTGTCAGGGAAACCTGTTACCGATGATGTCACCTCGAACTACCACGAGCAGGGCGAAATAGTTCCCTCGAACTTTAGCCTGTTTAATTGGGAAAATATGCCGTACCTTTCCTGTATACCGCTTGAGACCAACTGGGAATATACAGTCAATATTGGGCCACAAGGTAATTGGTCCTGAGAGCGACCGACATACGGGTGCAATCCTTCTCCGAGGACACAGCATATTTATGGATATCCGTATACGATGGAGCACGAAGGACTAAAAAACTTCATTTTCTCCCTTCTCATCCAGGTCGTTGATCATCAGACTTGATTTTGGAATATGAAGATCTGCGCGGGCCTTGGTAGATGCCATAATTGCTGTAAGGCATGATTGAACCCCCGCTTCTAGCATCAACGTGTATCGGCTCGAGGCAGCCGTAACAGGAACTCACCTTCATGTAAAAATGAAGACGTAGCCTAGATCCTCGTGGTCGTCGAAGAGAGTCTAGCTTACCAACGGTCCGACTGAAGAGCCTGATTCCCTTCGAAACGTTTCGATACATGAGAACGAAGTCGATGTCGTTATCAAGAGCATAATAAGTATTAGAAGCAATAATGATCGTCCGCAAATATAAGTACAACAAACATACAAGCTACAGAAACACGAAGTCTTGATGAAACTCGCAGGGCTGGTTTCCAATGGCTAAGCCCTGCCCGTTTTCAAGTAGCTTCATGGTCTGTCCCTTCTCGGTCTCGATCAGTACACTAGGTTGCTCCGTCACATCATCTATCCTATGAAGATGTGCACAGACTCCCTTACCAAAAGGGTGAGGAAAGAACTCATCATCACCTACGCTTTGGGCCAGGAAGGGATGGTATAATGCATCACGCGGCGTTATTCGATGGACTGCTTCGGGGTGTAGTAATTTTTCGAGAAGGTCAAACGCATTATCAAGGTCCTGATGATGCTCTTCTTCCGATGTTGGTGTGTCCGCATGCGGGTAAAAATCAGGCTTAGGCGAAGGTGGTGTATAAATTTCAGGATTCTGTTTCTCGCAGAATTCGCGCCATGTCATGCCAGTGGCCGTCACAGAAGGGACGTTCGTAGAAAATGTTCGATCCATTGGAACATGAGACCGGTGTTTTGGGTGACGAAAGAGGAACTTACTGTGCAATGTCGCAACCTTTTCCATGTGTTTCGAGCCGATTATTGCAGCAATTTCCATGAGGGCCTCGACGTCATCATTTGACTGAAATAGCGGAAACTTCTTTGTGAGGACGAAGAGAAGTATCGATCCGGCGGACCAGACGTCAATTGCTGCGAGCAGATGAGAATCCGGATTATTACTATCATACATAAACATACCGCCTGATTGATTTCCGCACTTCAGTAACACTTCGGGAGCTCTAAAACCCCGGGTGCCCGCTCTGTTGGCTTTCGAATTAGGCCTGGAGCAAAGGAAATCAGAAGGGTGTGCTGTTGAGGTACAGTTACGCACCGGGTATCGTTTTGAGGATATCCCACTCGGTCTGAAGGCCAATGGTTCTTCGCTCTGGCCTCACGCTGCATTTTTTTGATGTGTTCTGAATCATATTCGTTCCGTGCTCGCAAACGGCCATGAGGGTGGGAGGGTGAAGCTGGCAAATGCAGACATGGGCCAGGCACAGTCGTATTCATCCGCTGCTAAGGCATTGGCATCATATTGTGCGTACATGAAAGGAAGTACGAACGGATGCTAGACCAAAATCACAAAGGGTGCCCATTCCCGTCCGCGAGTCGAAGAGAAAGTTTGCAGGCTTCACATCTCGATGTATAATCTGCCGAGAATGTATGTCTCGTAATGCGCGCATCAAACAACGAAAGTAGGCCTTAATGCCTTCTATGGTAAGAGAACAAAAAAAGTCCTGGTGAAGGGTCAGCAATAATAAGCGAATGTCGACATTCACGTACTCTGAAGTCGTCGTTCCTCTGGTATGGCATAATAGCTACAACCTGATCCTTCTCTCGAAAGGCTGTTATGAGCTGAGACACATGTCTGCACCCTCTACAATCCTCGAGAACCGAGATTTCGTTCTTGATTCGTTCCGGGCTGCTTGTCACGTATATTCTCTTGATAGCAACGAAGATTTTGCTTCCTGGTTCGCGGGCAACCGACTGAGGATGGGCGGACGATCCCGGTGGATGAGGACACTGCCAAGGGCGATTGTCCCATTTGTCGTAGAAGAGGTCCACAGCCTTGTATACTGAGGAAAAGGTCCCAGTGCCCAGTCGATCCACTAGTCTGTAGCTCTCTTCAAGCTCGGGAACGGCCGCTTCCAGATCCCTGATTTCGTCAAGAATCATTTGTCTGTCCTCCTCGCTCTTCGAAAGTATGGTGAATTCCTCGTCAGAGTCTTCGATGTGTGAATCCCGGCCGTCATTCTCCTGTTCTTCCTGCTCATCATCGCTCTCCTCATCGACTGACACCTCCTCTGCGTCATGATCTTCTTCGTCATCAAATCCCATCGGTTCATCCTTCAGCACTAGTGGATCGTCGCTGTCCATGTCGTCGTCCAAATCCACTATGTTGTTATTCAAGTTCATCGTTACTTCGGCGGCCTTCCGACCGTATCTCTGCTTCACTTTTGATATAACTGGTGTCACTTGAGCAAGATGTCCCCAGTATGCATGCATGTCATCCTTCGGCGCGTATCCAGAGATCTGGTCTTCGGACGACGGCGAAGGGTCTTCCTCCGCTGCAACTTGCCGCGCTCGAGCTTCGCGGAGGACCCGCCGATAACGCACGTTTCTAGGGTCAGACGAGACAGCCTCGAGAGGATTGGATGAATGCTGAGAGATAAGAAGGGTAGTCATGGGCAGCGACTACAGTCAGAGCAGAGTGACGCGTCGACGACGCGGTCGGTGGAGTTTGAAATGGCCACTGTTTGTTTCTCGTGTTAGTCACGTGGGTATCCACGTCTTAGCGGTCCGACTCCCGGGCTGACAACAACATCCATCCCAGATACGAAAATCGTGCAAGACATTCGGTGTGTCCAGACTTTATCGATTGCGGATGTAATGTATCTCCTCACTACAAGGTTCTGGGCTTACTTTTGCCTAGGGAGATAAGACCTCCGCGGTACTAACTATATCGTCATCTTACGTTTCGCCAAAACTCTTCTCCATGGCCTTTCACCACGATGGCCGACCTCCATATAATGTGCGCCATCATGCATCTGCATTCTGCATGCTCGGGTTTAAAACATATCCCAAGGACTTGGAGGCTCCTTCTTTGGCACCACATACATAATTAAACTCGCTGCCACTCTTTCAGGCTGATGGTCTTACGACAACTTCCTAGAAACAGTCGAAAGACGAACGTGAACCATAAAACAATGTCCATGAAGATAGACCGGCCGTCGCATACGGATTTTTTCGCCCTTGCTCTTCATGCTGGGCGAACTAAATGCTTCCGCGGGCATACAACCCTCTTTCGTCTGAAATCTTGCCAGAGATGCATGGGCCGCAATATCGAGATATCGAGGAGATACGATCTACGGATACTTCTGTCGCTCCATATGTCCTCGGAAGGACCTATATCTGTAGTATATATACCCCTTAGCCACGTCAGCAACCTCAGTCGTTTCACTCTTACTGCGCCGACTGAGTTCTTATCCTCAGCTCCGTCCTGTTATCCCTACTGAATTGCCCGACACGAAACCCCTTCGGTATAACCTCCTTATTTCTTGGGCCAAATCCCGGCTGATTCGCCGGTTTGCGTAGTGATCTATCTTAGCCAATCGAAACCTGGACTTAAAATTGGATAAGAATATTTTAATCACACATAAGGAGAGACGGCAGCAAATGGGCAGCCTTTTCTCGAATAATTGTATCTGGATTTCGGTGAGCAATTCCCGATTGAAACACTCTATCTAAGAGTTCTTTTCAACAACCTTTGGGTGTAGTTATACCTACAGCTACTTTGGTGCGCTCTCAGCTGCGGAGACTTCATTCACTATGGTGGCTGCTCTTATAGCGAATGATACCCCATGCCAAGTTGACTGGCATCTCAAGGGGTCGCTGAGGAATGGCGCGACCTCGGATGAAGTCAGAACAGTGCGTCAGATTTCACTCGATGTCGCTCGGGCCTCTGGTGTGCAGTGGAAAAAAAAGATCCCTGATATCGAAGCGTAGTTTGGACAGTTTACATTACGAGGCGTCGTTGCCTCCAGGACATGAAGTATATATCACGATTCCAACTCAGAAGAGTAGTGGTTCTGACTATGTCATAATCACCCCTACGTGTCACTAACGCTGGACAACTAAGAGGGTGGCAAAAGTCATGAACTCTCACTAGGAGCTAACGCAACGTGTGACAGGTGTAAAAGCTGATCAATTGCGAAAAACCCAAGCTACTACAACGGTACGTAGCTCTTTTATACTACTAACGAATATCCAATAGGCTATGGAACAAGTCGAGAACAGTGGAGCGCATAGCGCGACAACGGGGTAAGGGATGAAGAAGAAGGGACCGGGCTAAGGCTGGCTCGTTACAACAACAGACTCACCACAAAAAAATAAATAATCTTCTCAACCCAGGTTTAGAAGCCAATACTACTCGTATTGTGAAATCAAAACGTGCTCAGAAAAAATGGATCTTCAAGACTCGTCAGTGGGGCGCGCGTGCTGGGACTGTCAGGAAGTGCTGACCTCCTCATCAGGTTGTCCCATCGACCTTGCTACGTCTGTGTTTTATTAGAGAAATGTCAGAAAAAGGATTATGGGACCGTACATCTTGCAATCTCCTGAGGGGAGTGTGAATCCATATCGTCACGATGTTGACACAACGAGAGAGGGCCTATACGATCGCTCCAGGTCTTTGTATCTTTTCTGATAGACGCTATGATAGTCTTATGATGAAGGGGCTGATAAATCAAGAGAGATCATTGATCATGCATATAATTCATGAGAAACGACAAACAAGAAAACAAGCAGTATTTTTGGCGTCGGCCGCCGGTGCGAATAGCCTCGTTATGCAGTCGGTACTATACTCTGCTGACCATCCAGGTTCGAGCCTTGGAAAGTCCAAAGAACCCCGAAGCACTTGTTGAATGGAAGAGAAAACAATATGAAAAGTAGGGTAAGTAAATAACAATAAGGACGGGCAGTGTGACTGGAAGTAAATTGTCACGGTAATATCCAGGAAGGACGAAGACACACAAATGGACAAGGATGGTCATCTTTCCCAAGCGGCACCTCAAATTGGCAAAAATGTAACGTGTGCTAGTAAATTCGTCTAATTGTTTCGACAATAGCAAGCAGACAGAAGTCGTTGCCGGTTCGGCATCGGAAGTTGTCACGCCCACGTGAAGCGGCTGCCTGCGTATATATATATTTTTGTTCTCAGCATTTGATTAACCGCAACAAGCTAACTACTAAGACGCGGTGGAGGTACAGGGCCTCAGGATCCTCTTTCCCTCTTGTTCCAGTCCCTCCGCTCTTCCTTCTGAGTTCCCCGGGTGTTTTGGTGTGTAATGTGGAGCAGAGTAACGGATATGTATGGTATTTTGCACCCTCGTGGTGGGCTAATTGGTTCGTTTGATTCTGCGGTCGGCTAAAGCCCGGGGTGTTTTGCGAGCGTGTCTTGGGTGCTGGCTGTGTTGGACGTGGTCTATGGTGTGGCAGTTATCCATGCTCGTCTTCCGTGTCGCCCTCGTTTTCTTCCCACCACTCATCCTGCGTATATGATATATCTTGCTTTCGTCTTTCACCATCAACCACCCATCAACCACTGGTCGCTACCTTTAGACAGTTACGTGCTCTGCTTCTGCTGGAATGTCTCTCAGGCGAACTTCTCTTCTTGGCAACCCAACCGACTCTAGCAGTCCTGCTTCTTCGACTTGCACCGAGGATGCCACCGACCACGACCCAATCAATCCGCTCTGCATTTGTACTCAACCGAACAGCCCTTCACGACCTGATAGAAGTAGGATCCAGAAACAAGCAATTGAACAGAGTTTTTCCAGTTCTGCAAGTAGCGATCGCAGTCTCTTTGAAGATGCACCCGATATGGACCACGTGAAGAGATTGATGGATGATCCTGGGAGAGCAACCGAGAATCTGGTGGAAAGCGCTAGGAAAATGCTCGATTACTTCAAGGAATGCCGCCAAAGCATACCCACGTGGCTGACAGGGTACAATATCAAGCAGGGCAAATTTAAGCTCGACCTTGTCCTTACGGCCATGCTCGATTTTGCTCCCATGTGCGGTAGCCCCGAACGTGCACAGTCCAGCCTGAGATATGTTGCTGCTGCCATTTGCGCCTGTCGGGGACCGCGGCGTGAGTCAGAAGAGACTGCGAACGCGCTCAGCGCGCTTGCAGTAACATGGTTTGCTCATTTTCTTTGGATTTGTGAGTCTTCGTGCTTTCTGTGATTATTTGGCTGACTTTCAGTGTTTATTAGTCCGCATGCATAGCTTCTTCAAGAAATACTCAAATGAGGCCGATCCATCTGGGCAAGCGACTCCGACGTTGATGGAACCATCGGGGTTCATGTTTGATGAATTGGGTCACTGCGATTCTACCATGATGACAAAGGTCAAATTCCGCGGCAAACTTTATGCTCTATTCTTACTCCTTTTAGGTCTTGACGCGGCAGCGATATATCTGTCCTATCACTGGACTTGGCCACAGGGCCCATTTCTCCACACATCCTTCCAACGATTCTGACCTTGCTTATGCGGATGTAGAGAATTCTCACATACTCAAGCGGGCAGCAGCGGAATTCAATCTCAATAATCCTAAAGACGTGAGCGATTGCTTTCTTCCCAAATAATGATGTATTCACCCGTTTCCCAGTCCTACAGATATGCTATGACGACGTGGGATATAGTCCGGAATTATATGGCTTTGACTGATGAGGAGATGGAGGTAATCGTTCCCATAATCGATGACCCAAGCAATGGAATTGGTCTTGAGCACTATTGTCGTACTAGTCTTGATGCCTTCTTATTCTCTTTGCATGCAACAGAGGTGCGCATCTCAGTTTACCTGTGCTTGATATCATTGCCAATCTACTTTAGACACCGAATGAGTACACGATACAGCTCCACCATCCCAGCTTCAAATTCGTTTTTCCATGGCCGCCTGTGGGAGGTCGCGAGCATCGTGTCATTTTCAAGGAGCAACTCGGACCCACCGATACCTCTGCCCAATCCAGCTTACATTCGTCTTCATGCTGCGATAGCAGGAATTCTTGACATGAGCGGGGCTGGTGAAGTCATGGATGAGTTTGAAGACAAGCACGGGGAAACCGGCTCCCATTTATTAGCGCAGTCAGATTATGATTTCCAAACCTTTCTTTCTTGGCTTTTGACTTCCGGGGCTCAAGAACAGTTTCAGTTCACTAAGTATCATTTGTAGTTGTCAAGCAAAAAAGAATACTTTTACAGGTAAATCTACAACAGAGTTACTAAGTACAATGGTATCGACTGAACTACACTGTTTGCTCTGCGTCTTGATTAAGCATGATTCCATGGAGTACTATTACAAAGACGATGTAGACAACCATTACGCGCCATATGCCGGTGGGTTCTCCACCGGGACCGTAGCGTCGTTGCTTGGCGAAACCACTGAGCTAGACTGAGCAGGAGAGTCGTACCTCGCTACATCGATACGTCAGTGACTTTCGTGCGTCACGAACGAAGTGAGCGAAAAAAGTCCACGCACGCAATACATCTTCATCTTGCGCCATCTGTCGCTTCATATAGATCGCCCTCTCCCTGGTCTTTTCTAAGAGCGCCACAAACTGGAACATGGCTTGGCCCTTGAACCGCACCTCCACCTCAGTTCCAGTCTTTAGACCTCCTTCGGGCGCAGGCTTAGCTTCGAAGGTCAAGTAATTCGCTCCAAAGGTTGGTTGCATGAACTTGGTAGAGAGGATAGAGTGTAGAGGGACAGATAGAGACTCAAAGGATGATTTCGGCTTAGATATGAACAAGACCTGAGAGAATGCAAATGTGAAATGGGCGAAATGAAACGCGTAGGGTACCTACCCTTTGATCAGTAACCCAAAGTCGACCCGTGGCCTTCAGGGAACTACCAGAACCTGAAGGACTGGAAGACGGCATTTTCACAGTAAGATCGACACCAGAGTCGACGCTCGTTATGGTCACTTCATGAGGGAGAGGGACAGGGTTCTGGTAGTCATCAATCATCGCACAGTTCAAAGCCATGGTGGACTTGAAGATGGTGGTAAGAATTGAGGATGCTTCAAAAGGGATGCACGCGTGACAGGACAATTTGAGAGGTTGTACTACAGAAAGCTAAATGTAAAGTGACCTATGGCTTCCTGGCGCAATGGTAGCGCGTTTGGCTTCGATGCTAAATGGTACCAAAAGGTTGCAGGTTCGAGTCCTGCGGTGGTCATTTGACTTCCTCGTTATTTTTGATATGGATCGTGAAGATTGGGAATGGGCTAGGGTTGCGCACGAAGCATCCAGGGTGGTAAGTTATATTGACTCCTTCACGTGCAAAATGACTGGCAAGTAGTGGCAGATTTTTTTAGAGAATTTTTGTTTTTGTGTTTTTATACATCTCATTGATCTCTCAGGCTGTAATTTACTTTGTAAATACAATATGTATATAATCGTACTGAACATAATACTGCCCATGCATAATGACATGACAGACAAGGTATCTTAACGAAAACCCTTCCAGCGAGGAGGAGGGAGGGTTATGGTTTCGTACTGACCCCTGTCGAATGGGGATGTTGAAGTCAGCTGTTCAAAATGTAGTGCACAAACTCAGCTCAGATTGTTCTATATTCCCATGACAGCCAGAAATATACACAAGTTAAAACATTATCATAGTTATCGTATGGCCCAACATGTACTCTTAATGTGTGCCTGCAGATCCTGTCCAGCACAAAATGCCTAAATCCTCCTGAAGTGTACCTACTAGAGGACGTATCTGAAATCTCGATTCTGCTTGTCCGTCAAATCCAAAAATTCCTGTGGACCTGTCAGAAAGCGTACGAAACGCACATAGCGAGGATCCAGACAGACCTTGTCAACACGAACCTTCTCCATAACACCGTCCTCTTTCACCCGCTCAATATACACATCGTCATAAACAGAATCAACGCATTCGGTATCCCTACGTCGATTTTCAGCCGATAGCAGGTACCGAATGGTGAGCAGAGTCAGAATCCGAAAAATAACGCAAACACCGATGACTATCCAGGGTACACGATCGCTAGTCCCATATGCTCATCAGCATAAAGAGGGAAGAATACTATTGGTCTGTAGGAACACGCACCGAGGCTTGTATTTCTCTTGCCACATGAAAGGACCGACCGCATTACCGATACAATAAGCAGATAACATGATAGCGTTGACGACTACTTTCTTCGTGTGTCCTGCCGTAGTGCTCGACAGCCAAGAAAGCGAAAGAACTGCAATCGCATTAATCACCGCCGGTGAGCATAGAATGCAAACATACCGAAAGCGGTGACCCCGAGACCTACCACTGTCGGTAAGCGGTACGGAGTCAAAAAGAGTTAAACATCTCACCGGCGAAGAACAGTGTCAGTAACAGACCAACTTTATTATCCCAGCTTAGAAAGAGCATCAAGAACACAGCAACGAGATTCGGTATCAGGTATATCACACCGACCCACGCTTGGCTGTTTGGAATCCGCGCTACTATGTTTGTACCGCTCCAAACTGCAATGACCGCTACAGCACCGGGAACACAGCCCAGGAGAGTGGTGTTAAGGTTGGAGAAACCAAAGGACAAGATAATTAGCTGTCGCTGATTAGAGAGCGAATTCGGGATGTTGGCTAACATGGAGAAGAGAGCGAATAACCATGTTTTGATATCCGTTAGGGCTTCTATCATTCTAGTGTTAGGTGTTTAAGAAGAAGTAAAACTGGTTTAAAAGATAGGTCTTTCGTACTGTTCTTTCTTGAAATGTTTGTTCTCGATACCTGTTTGATTTTCCTGTTTTGAGAAGGGGATTATTAAAACCACGAGAGGACGGCAAATATCGAATGACCTTTATTCGCTGAACCGCAGAAGAGCGCTCTTCCGGGGTAAGGAACCACGCGTTCGTAGGAGAATCTGGAAAAAGGAACCTGGATCAAACGTCAGCTGTCTGTGTAGAATACGAGGAGAAAGTAGAGTACCAGAAAATGACTGCAGTCACTATGGTCAATACGCCGAAAATTATCATAAGCCTAGTGTTGATCAATCATAAAAATAGATAGATATAAGAAGCCGCGTACCATTGCCAGGCTGTCAATGAATTGGTTTTCATGTGCAAGGTCCCGAAGCTAATGAAGCCGGCGATTACTTGTGCTAATACCAATGGTTAACCCAAGCGAGTAGGAAAGAACAAATACCTACAGCTACCATCCATTAAGACTACCAAAGGAGTCAGCAAGATACAAGAGGGCGAATTTATGCACTTACACCAGTACCCGACCCTTAATGTCTGCTCCGTTCGTGTATAGAACATGGAGGTGACAATCATGAATCCCGTTGTGATGCAACCTTCACACATACCCAGGATCAATCGGACGACGAAGAGACCGGCGAAATTTTTGCATGCTGCGTGCATACATAACGCTACGGCCCAAACCAAGATATTGAAGCTATGAGGATTCGGGAATGATGTCACCCAGGACAGATAATTAGGAGGACGGCACACCTCAACCATTTCCCAACGGGAAGGCGCTGCAGACAGAGATTCTGCGGGAATTCGAAAACAAGATAACCAAGATAGAAGATGGTGCTGAGCCTGAGGCTTTCATTAAGTAGACGCCATGGATCATAGATTAGACGCCAAACCAGTTATATCTGCATCGAGGAGTTGAAGAACGAGAAAGGTCGGAAATACTATGCTCCACTCACTGGTCAGTACTTAGATGTGTATCTTTACTAAATGGGAAGTTTGATACGGAACACGATTTGACACGCATCGCGGACTTACAGGAGACCTAGGACGGCGGCATTTCCTAATGTGGCTTTGTCCATGTATTGGATTCTAGGATTATGACAGGCTGTGGTGAACATAACGGCGAACCAATAGCCATTACGACTCACGCATACAGCACTGTAAATGATACAACAATTAGGATAATTGCCATCCCGGCTAGGGGCTGTCCATAAAGACGAGACTCACGGCACATCAGGGGAATGATATGACGGTCTATTTTGTTCCTGTTGTGCTCTAACGTGAGATACCGTTGCAGCGAAAGTGAACATACTGTACCTGATTCTTATGGCCTCGGAACGGCTCAAGTGCCCGGTTTTACCGATTACAAGTACCGCTCCAGTATCCACTTGATTGACAGAGACTTGTGTGAGATGATGGACATTACTCTTTTCTTCTGTTGCAATTTTCTCATCGCTTGCCGACGCCATCAGGGAAAGAGATAAGGACGTATAAAAGAGCGAGTAGAAGTCGTCGTCGTATATATTGTGTTCATGTGTCCGAAAAGCGGCAAGAAGGCGTCCAATCAGTAGTTCCAAATTCCGTCAAAGAAGCCCAAGAATACATATATGCAGATACATATAACACGAGTCCGTAAGCCTTGAACCCTAGCCGTTAAACTTTTCAGCGAGTTGAGAATACGTTACTCCGAATCGATGGTTATCATGCCGACTCCACGGTGGTAATTCAGTAGAATGGAATGATCGAGAGTCGACAGCAGATGACAGCTGAACCGGCCATTGCGGTCTTCTGGATCCAATTTTACCTCAGGGCTTTGTTGAATGCGCAGTCGTCGTAACAGTATGACGCCAATTATCAGGTACGTAGGTGTGCAGAGGTGTGCACGGGATTGCCAAATGAAGCATATTCGCTGAGTTTCAAATTAATTATAGCTCATCAGGGAGGCTGTGCTACTGCGCCTTGGACCCTCTCCTCGATTGCATATAAGGTATTGGAGACTACTTACCTTCTCACCCTCACCCTTACCGTAATGTCTTACAACGGAATCGACCGCAAGGACCGCGCCCCTTCTCCTAGTGAGGGCTCAACCTCGCCAAGGAATGTTGTGGATCACGATGCTCCTCATGGTCAGTCTCGTTCTTGCTTTGGCGGTGGTCAATAACGCTCAGTTTAATTTCCTGTCAAAGTAACGGCGGACGTACCAGTTGGACCAAGGAGATTGGGGGAACCAAAGCATCACATGATCACTGTCCAACCGCTGAAAAGGAGCGAGATGCAAGTGAGCAGCGCCGTGCGATTTCGGTGTTGGTGTAAACTCATCCTTTTGCAAGCCTTCGTACGCGCAGGATCTTGGAACTGGAGAGGTACGAGATCCATTTGTACCGTATTCAAAGTCTTAACATGTGCATGAAGGTTACGCATGGAGTCTACGGTTCGCTCTTACAATGCCTGGGAACCGCAGTGGGCTTCCTTGGGGCCATCCCTTGTTGCCCGTGTCCAAATCCTTTCCGAAATGTCCAGCAAGGTGCGCAATTACTACGAAACTCACAGGACTATCTTTAACGGCCTATTTCAGGATCCGTGGGACTCATCTCCCGTTTCGGCCAGTTCTACAAGTCGGTGGATCCGGGACTTGTCCAGGTCAACGTTTGTACTGAATCCCTTCGCGTTGTGGATGTGAAAATCCAGATCAGCCCTATTGGCAGGCAGATGGTGATGTAAATATTCTTTCTCCGCGTCCAGTCTAGTCCCGTCCAGTCTTCTCACGTCGCTGAACAGTACTCGAGACAACGTTAATGTTGAAATGTGCGCACATGATGATCATTTACGTTGCGTTGCCATCTGTTGATTTTTTCCCTCTCCCTTAGCGATTCGGTCATTTACTTCCAGATCTGTAACCCCTATCGCGCCGCTTTCGGTATCACTGACCTCCGGCAAGCCCTCATCGAACGTGCACAAACAACGTTGCGACATGTCGTTGGCGCACGTGCTGTTCAATCTGTCGTTACCGAGCGTGAAGCCATCGCCTTTGAAATTGCCGAAATTGTTGGTGACATCGCCGACAAATGGGGCGTTGCCATTGAGGGTATTCTCATCAAAGATATCATCTTCAGCCCTGAAATTTCCGCGAGCTTGAGTAGCGCTGCTCAGCAGAAGCGGATCGGTGAGAGTAAGGTTATTGCTGCGCGAGCCGAGGTCGATGCTGCCAGGTTGATGCGTCAAGCTGCCGATATCCTGGCTTCGCCGGCTGCCATGCAGATCCGACAATTGGAGGCTTGTGAGTGTTTTTCGTTCTTTTTCATTATGATATTTATATGCCGGTTCAGTGCAACAAATGGCCAAGTCCGGGAACAGCAAGGTCATCTTCGTACCCATGCAGCTACAAAGTGACGTTGTTTCACAAATGGCAGGGACTTCTGCTGCGGGTGCCACTAATGACAGTAATGCCGGCGAGGCAGGAATGGGTGCAGCTGGAAGGATAGCCGTCTTGAATAGTGCTGCAGATATTTGAAGGGTATCGCCATTGAAACTTTCTTATCGCCCCTTATCACGTTTCACCATGCCATCTCCATGTGTATTAACTCTATTGTTTTATTTTGGATACCTATGACATTGGTTATGCTGATGTTCACGACTATTTACTTGTACACGTCAATAAAATACTCTACACACCATGCTGACGGACGCGAGGTAAAAATGTATAGAGGAACAGAAGGACAGGAACAGTGCTAGTATCTGCACTGCATCTTAGTAAAGACGTCCTTATGGCGGTAAGAGTCCAAAGAAGTATTGTCAACTACTCTTGGCGCCCTGGTATCGGTAATATGACAGCAGAAAATATCTTAGCCCGTGTCAGCAGACGCCAGGAATGGAGTTAAAGAACCCACTCACCAACAGAGCCCACAATCCCACCATTCCACAACTCTGCATCACCTGTCGATGCACCGCCAAGATGCGTGCGTCTTTCACAACCTTTTCTGGACCGAACACGGGTGGTCTGGTGACCCCGAATGTGATGGGAGTATCACCACCTCCCCGCGGCTTTGACTCTATTGGCGGTTCCTCCGATTGAAAGATGCATACGGGAGGGCTCCCCCGTCCGTAAGTCCCATCCGCAGAATTACAAACCAATCCCACGCATCTCCGCATGTCCCCTAGTCCCCGTCCCCGCACGGAATTCACGTATGCGAGAGACTTGGCGTTCGCAGCTTGGAGTTCCCATGAGTGGAGCTGCACAGACTGTCTGTGCCACAGCTGGGCGCAGAAACCACGCCATGCAGCGCAGACTGTGTAGGTGCCTAGCGCGAGTGGGACAGATGCCAGCAGACGCCATGCACGGTTGCTTTGGGGAGGCACCGGTACGAATAAGATGAGTGTGATAGTGATGATGATTGCAGCAACGATATATAGGATACCTAAAATATAACTGGAACGATATGTGAACATCAAAGGGTAACCATGATGAAGACCTGGAGAATGAATCGTACAAGAAAATCTGCTTGGGTAGATTGATATTGGGAGTCGCGTACGCCAAGAACCGGGGGAGAGATACCCGGTCCAAGTAAAAGTACACTGCTTCATATGCCGGTTTGAACTAGATCTCGTCGGTAACCTGCACAGATATCGTTACACCGAAAAAAAACGATTCAACTCACTACGTCAGGGTCGCAGTTAGTCGCCAGTCTTCTTACTACGTCGTCACGGAGCCCAGCATCGAGCTTAAGCGCTTTGGGGGCATCAGGAGCTAGGAATGTTGATATGACATTCATGCATTCTTCGCGCAGAGCTCGATCGTTGATAGCTGGGGAAGATGACGAAAGAACAGGTGGAAGAGAGATAGGCGGTGGTATTGGAAGGGGGTTGTCGGGATCGTTCGAAGGTATAGGGACGTAAGGCCCTGAGGGGATATCATGTTTGGAATGACTGATATTGGACGCCAGCGACGAACAAGATGTGATCGACGAGATGGATTCGTCTCGGCGTTTCAGTGACTGTCTGTCATGCAGTTCAGAGAAACGCTTTCGATAGTCCTTATAATATGTTGGGTTAGCACACGAAGCATAACAACCACACTGAGATATGACATACCTGGTACCACACAACAAATTGAAGATTCGCCAAGGAATGCTCCTATTATGCGAAAAAATTGTCAGAGATCGCCAAGACTCGACTCGCGGCTGGACCATCGAACCCTGAAAGCAAGGAAGAACTCGAAATCCTCGAAGCTGCATGGAGTGAACTGAGCTGGCCGAGCAGTACGGTTAGAGAAGAGTGAGTAACCTTATGGGACTGCAAGTTCCTCCTAAAAGGACTTGTGCTGATCCATATTTATCAGCATGTTAAGCATTTCATGAGCAGTTTCATACCTAGCGTAATTCCCGCCAGACGTCGAGTGTTGAGCTTTTCTGCCCATGGGTGCAGTTTGGCCACGTAGCTTTCTTCCGATGGCTTACCATATGAGCTCGTCCGATGCATGATCAATCATAAACCTGCTGGAGCAAAGGGGATATGATGGGACTCACGAACTCGAAGGTGGCATCCCTCTCTGGACATTTATACCAGCACTCAGCACTGCGAAGCATCATATCATGTGAGTGACGCTGATTCACAGCATTCATTTTTCTGCGGTCAATCGGGAACAGTTACATTGTTTCAAAGGGACAGAGCCAGGTTCGTGTGATCAGATCTTGTGGTAGTCCTGATGGGTTGGGAACTATACACATACGACTTTGTACCACAAGCACACCTCCATTCGAGGTGTAGTCACTACACATTGGACCTGGATGAAAGCAAGCTCTTTACCAGGGAGAGAGCAGAAACCAACACCAACTCACTTGACCAAAATCGTCAGGGTCCTGCTTCCCGCCCAGCCCTTATCCTCTCTTGTCTCGTGTAAAAGAACAGATCGGACCTTCCCAGAAGCTTTCCATCGGACCTTGTGTAGTCATCGTCGCGTTCCCTTGTAACAGCGATCACACGCTTAAAAAGAGGGTTGATGTCCCATCACAAATGGCTTCTAGAGATCCCGATTAAATAATTACAATAGAAAAAAATAATAATTACAAGTATCCAAGACTCCCAGCTTTACAACATACTTACTACAGGGTATACGTTGGGTGTTCTCTTCAATAGAGACGACGACCAAATGTCCGCTCCTCTCTAAGCGGCCGTTCCAGGAGCGACGATCCATCCCTCGGGCTGCCAACCAAATAGGACTGAGAGGTTGTAATTGCGGGGTCGAGGCCACCAGATGCCCACGTAGAAAGTCCGGGCATCAGGACCCCAAAGCCCTGGGAAGACAATGTCTTTCCCTTGGAGTTTGTATCTCGCTTTAGACTGTTGTTCGCAGACGGCCGAGAAGAAATACTCGACGATGAAGAGGTCGAAGGCGCCGTGGCCATCCTAAAATTCTGTACCTTCCTACTGAGTGCTTGAAGCACAGAGCTTCTGTCAGGCCAGCCTGATTCTTGGGGGTAGTCTTCGGGGACTTGAGAGGAACGGTTTTCCTCGGCAATAAACGTTGAATGGATAGAAGAGTCGGATAGCCCTCGACGGTGTAGGCTGTGACCAAGGAGTGGTCCAAGACAGTCGGGTTCCTCAGAATCATCTGTCCGGCGCAAAGTCCCCGTGTCGATGATCGCGTCCAGGTTGCGTGAAAGACGGTTAGACGTACTTGTACGAGCAGCCGGTCCTAATGTAGATTGTACCCGACGTGGTCCTCTCGGCAACACGACCCATGGTTCTGGTGTCGTGGTACGAGGTGCGCCTGCGAATATACCCATCACCCCTTGGGCTGCCGCGGAGGAAGTGGTTTGGGCGATAGTATCTGAACGCAAGGGCTGCGGCGAAAGAGTGCTGGTCACAGCCCTTCCCACTCCTGCTCCTGAGAACTCTACGTTGACAGTCGTGGCAGAAGCTGACAACGCAGGGCCTAGCTTGGGCACAAACCGTGGTGGCCGGGTTGGAATCCTTCCGCCGTTCGACCGACCAAAGGACGAGGGGATTATACCATTCTCAGGACGATTGCTCGAAGAACCAAAGAGCTTAGAGATAGGTGCCATCCATCCTCCACCGCCATTACCGTCCTTTTCTCGTTCTTTCTCGGCCTCAGTCTCTTCTTTCGATGGATTTAGAACGGACTCGCTGACTTTCGGGGCTATGGAGGGATCAAGAACGACTTCGTTCAGTGTTACACGCATTTCTCCCATTTCGACAAAGATATCTCGGAGCAAGTTGAACAGGGATCTAAGGTCTTTGCGCGAGCACGTCGCGAGTATCCTTTCATCTTCCAACAGCGCCCTAAACTGGAGCCGCAACGTTGATGCTTCTGAAACGATGTTTTTGACAGTGCTACGTGAAAGATGGCTCACATCAGCACCGCGAAGATTTTGCCGTTTCAACCGATTAGTTAAAGTTAACGCGTCTGCTTGAGTCATCCGGTTTACAAGTGTTGAAGCACGTTCGATCAACTGTCCCATATAGGAAGACGATTCAGAGAACGAGGACGAGGATGACTCAGAACGAGGATTCAGTGGAGACGAAGAGCTGCCTTGAGACGCCAATGATGATGCTGCCAATAGCCCCGGTGTTAGCCACGGATCTGTTTGAACTCCGCGAGATCGACTAAGAAGTAGAAGAGGCTTGTAAACCTTTCTCCTTTCAGGAGAAGATGGTTCAAGCTCGGTATCGTCGATGATTTCGATCTGATAGGGCGTCGTTGCGTACCGCACTTGCGGCTGGCCGAACGACGCCCATCTTTCAGAGTTGGCTGTCGTAGAATCGGTGGCAGGTGATAAAGGCCGCACATGAGATTCCGGGGTCAAGGGGTCTTCATTTAGCTGCGATTCCTATTTAACAGCAGAGAAGATTCGAAAATAATAAGATACTAACATGTGGTCGACGGGCTTTCCTCTCCAGACTGGACGTTCGTCTTGAAGACTGTACATATGTGAAGGATCAAAAATGTCGCAAGAGTTGATACATACACACCATTTGTTCTCTGAGTATGGATGATGGCATACTCCCCGAGTGGAAATGATGTCTAAACGTAGGTGTCCGAGGCGTTCCGGCTGGGACGCAACAGCTGGTGAGATAGGCCAAGAGGAGGCCATGAACCGCCTTACCACTAGAATGAGGAGTTGGGTTGGCACGATACTCCTCGACTTCCTCTTGCAACGCGTGAATCTCTTCCCGGGACTCGGAAAGAATATGCTGGAGCTCCACATTGTCTCGCTTCAAGGACTCATTATTATCCACAAGCGATTCAAGAACTTTGGTGAACTCCGTTTGATCTGAGAAGCTTGAGTGACTGAACTAAACCTCATTGGATCAGGGACCGGGCACGCCTGAAGGTAGAAGGTACCTGGGAGCGCACCGTTCTTTGCAGTACTTCAAGTTGAGAGCGAGCCTCCTGTAGGATGAACTCTGACGACTCTAGGCGATTTAATCTCTTCTCCTGTAGGCCATCTTGCAACTGACGGACGTCAGCTTGTAGTTTCACTGCTAAACTTTTAGCTAACGAACGAACACACAAGTTAACCAACTCACAATTCTTCTCCTTTAGTACGGCGACACGAGACTCAGCCAGCCTAGCACGCTGTGATTCGAATTCTCGTTCTTGTTGCAGGTCGTCTTTCTCTTTTATGACGGAGGATAACCGCGTCTCCCATCCCACTGAGCGAGCATGATGCGCCGTAAGTCGAGAAAGAGCGGTCCTGGCCTCTTGCAGCTCCTGGATAAGTGTCTTGTTTGATACTTCGGTAATTTCGCTATCCACAAGAGCTTGAGTGAGACGCTGACTCGGATAAGGGTTAACGAGATAGGTCCGGCGTGCAGCAGCCAATAACACTCACCTTTTCCAATGCGTCTTTTCCTCTCGCCAGCTCTCTAAGTCTCGATTCCCACTCTTCTCTATCATCAAGCTCGAACGTTTCGCTTCCCTGCAGGCATGGCTCATCGGCAATCACGACTTTATGAGACGGTTGCACTTACTCCTTGCCGACGCACATACGCTTCGTGACGCTGTAATAACGCCTGCCCAACCTCTGCAAAAAACCAAAATAGCAGATTAGCAAAGAAAGGGCGATTCATGATCATGGAGGCCGTACCAGCACTGAGTATCAGTCGACTTTCCAACTTCGACTTCATTGAGAACCACGCGTTCGCATTCTCGCAATCGTCGCGTCCACAACAGCACGACAGCACAGACGGCTCCGGGGATGGAACACGAGAGAAATTGGCAAGAGCAATCGTCAAGTCATCGATGGTGCTTGTTGCATGGTTGAGGCTACTGGCCATTGGTGATTCCGGCGTAAGGGGTCTAGAGAGAAACGAATCATGCATTGGCACAGAGCATTACCAATTTTTGAAAATATGCAAAGGTGTACGAAATAAATCCAGGAGGGAAGGGGGAAAACGTAAAAGTGAAGTTGGGAATTTATAGGGAAATAGGGTGACCGCGCGTTTATCACAAGGTCGTCCAGATTTAGACATCACACCAGAAAATGCTTTCATCATTGAGTCATGAGAATATGTGAGTAGTAAAATACAGTGCAGCATGGAAGACAAATTCACAAATACACCACCAAGAAAGAGAGGAAGAGTACAAATTACTACTATTCGCCCACAGGTTGAGCGATGCTGTTTACGATCTGCACCAAATAAGGTACTATGGACGAAAGCCCTTCACCCGGCGCGACAAACTTGAATGATTCTGCCAACCCAGGCATACCGAGTTCTTCCAGTGCATTCAGACACTGAGTAGAGGACGACACTTCCTCTGTCGCACCCGGCATGTTAACAGATGCCCCACCCTGAGCATTCCAACGCTTATTGTCCTGCAAGGCAACGCGAATAATGTCGGAAACGTATCGTATGATGTGTTCATTCGATGAGTTTGCGAAAATATGATTGATATTGAGCTTCTCATACCTGCAACACCAATCAGTACTGTTAGCATCAGGTAAAAGGCGACACTCACGCCATGGAAACGACTTCGGGAAACACTGACGCGACATCAGAGAGTATACTGTACAACATCTCGTTTTCTGCGTCGTGACCATGAGCACTGCGGAGCATCGCAGAAATGAAGGAGATGACAAAAAGGGCAAGCGTGGAATCATCCTGGATTCCCAAGAACATGGATGATGGCCGAGGAAGGCTTTTCTCGTCATCGAAAGAAGTTGCGCCAGCCTCTGGCAGCCACGTATCATCTACTTGACAATCTTTCAGGAGCCGACGATATTCCGTGGAAGAAGTGGACAGTGGAAGGAGCGCCAGGAAATATCCAAGGACATCAGGATGTAATGACCCTGCAGAGCCGTTGGTCAAAGGCTCTAAACAGCTCCATCGAACAGTGACGCGAATCAATGTACGTAGCACCGCTTCAGCCGGATCTTTTGTCCTGCTCTCGCGAAGCCCCTTGAAGATGATAGCGGCAAGGGTGAATGAGAAATTGGAGTCGAAAGATAAGCCTAAGTGCTGGTCTAACACACAGGCGTAATCCTCCAGCTGTTCCCGAGCATTTAACAGGTACGACGAAATAGGTTCATTCCTAAACACTTCTCGTTTGTCCATGACTTCCAGCGTGACTTGAACCAGGCGGGCAGCTTCAGGGAAGAAGTCCCTATAGCCGGACTGAAGAAACGCGACCCCCATCCAGAAAAGATGAGCTAGGAAACGTGTGTCATTCTGGAGTCCTGGAACCAATTTGGCCAACGCTCGTAAAATTCCAACAGCTGGAACCGTGTCTGTTTCCTCCACTACCGTGAGAGCGGCAGAGAATGCTACCAAACTTTGATAGAAGAAGTCGTCATCAATGTTCGATGTCGCCAAAACTCCCAACACTGTGAATGCTCGCATTTGAATCATCGATGAGTATTGGAATGCTGACGAAGTGACCAAGCTCATCCAACGGGCACGCCATACATTGAGCAATCCTGTCGGAAAGTAAATACCTCAGATGCCAAGATACGCAAAACCAGTACCAACCTTTACTCCCGGCTGAAGCTTCAAGGATTCGGACCAGTAGCCCGGCAAGACGCTCATAGTTGTCAATGAGCATCGCGTCTTGCGTCGTGTCATAGCTAGTATATTCGCTCGTCGATGTTGCACGATGAAGGCCAAATAGTTCCAACGTTCCAGGTTCCGAAAACTCATTTAACAACTGGTTGAGTTCCGGTAAAGGGTCCGCCGAGTCCTCTGATCGGGCAATGTACATTGACTGCAAGAGATTCATTGCAATGCCGTACATTGCTTTCCGGACGATGATTGATCCTACGCCAGCTATCATCATAGTGATGTGGACAATCTCAGGGATGTAAAGCTGATTGTGACTAGGCTGTTTGGACTGATAGCCAGCGATGAGACAGATACGGCTAAGCGTTGCCACTTCATTCCAGTTCTGATTATCGACCAAAGACTTCGTATGCCGTGGAGCAGCTTTAATAATTGCCTAGCGAAATTGAGTGTGAGAGAATGACGGCGTCGAACATCAAGGCGCTCACCTTTCGTAGCTTTGCGAACAATTTGCCCCGGACACTGATTGACGACAAAGAAGCAATGATATGCGCATGAGTCTCGCAGCGGGTTGTTCCAGCTCCCGCATCGACAGCAGAACGTACTAACTCGTCTAGCACAAGCTCTACTGTTTGCGAGTCAAGTTTTCCTACTTCAGCCCATACATGCCATTGCATCGCCGAAGTCAACTGTAAGTAAAAATGAGCTCAAGAGGCTATGGAATCTGCTAAGTGTACTAAGTGTACTGACCTCAGGATAGGTCAAGGCTATATCAACCAATCCTCTGATACAATCGCGGAGTCTCGCACCTGATCGTTCATGGAGATTACTCGTCGGATTTGAGAAATGGGGAAGATTTTTTATCCAGGGACTCAGATAATATAAGCATGCTATCGATTGTCCGACGAGGCTGCCGGACCTCGCATCCATGGTCATTGTGGCTGACACCTCAGAGATGAAATCCAGGGTAAGTCGAGGAGCAAACTCAGCGATGCGCTCGCTTAATTGAAAGACAAAATAGCTTGGGTCTCCGGGAATAAAGCCAGCTACAAGATATTAGACTATCACAGATGATATGGAAATGCCACAGACCTTTCGACGCTACGATGGGGCTTTTATCATAACCGAGATATGTGCAGACAGCGCCAAGGAGATCATACGCAGCTGTGCGGACTTCCTCGTCGTTCAGGTCAACACTGAGCATGCCGACATGCAGCAGAGTTGCAGGTACATTGGAGAACCTTGAAAATCTATCACCTAAAGGCGAATGAGTCTCGGTCAGGCGACCTTTCGCTGATCTGATGCTCTGCCCAGAGTTCAGCGATACCAGATCGGAAATTTCATGCGAAAACGCACCTTGACAATTTCATCGTGCGAGTCCGACGAGAGGTAGATTGTTGGCGCATTGCGATTTCGTCGAATGATGAACTCGTGATTCTCCCGAGAAGCGGTTATGTAGGAATCGCTGACTTCAGCCATAGGTATGATATCAGTAGCTTGAGTGGTATGACTTGGCCCAGGTGTAAGCTGACGTGAGGTGAGATAAGAGCAAACATTGAAAAGCTAGGCACATACAGCTATGATTCGAATATGAGAGGAACCGACACTCAAAACAGCACGTTGGCGCCGCGCTGAAGGAAGCAAAAAGACGTTCTCAAACGTTACGTATCCCTCTGCTTCCAGCTCCGCTACAAGAAGATTAACGTAGCTTGTTTAAGTATCAACGATACTCACCTGGATAGCCGAGGTCAGAGACTTCGATACCAGGTACCAGTTGCGAAAGCTCCTCAACCGACGTGGCAGTCTGAAACTCTCGAGCAAGGCGTATTCCTGTGAACTCTGTTTGTTTGCAACTATACTGACACAGAAGAGAATAGCTGCGAACCTGCAACGAAGTTCTGGACTCGCTTCAGATACCTCTGCGCTAAGCGATTGACGTTCAGCATGTAACAAGCAGCGAATCGCATCTTAATGTCGGAAGGTATTAATTCGATGCAGTACTTCACCCACCGCAACGGCAGCTCGGATTTTGCACTAAACCCGGTGCAGTCAACGATCACGTCAAATGCAACCGCTTCGGAAGAGGTCTCTAGTGTCTGAGGATTTTCAGCAAAAGGCGCACCCGTAAACATAGGCATTTACCTGGAAGATATGGAGCATCAAGAGTTCCACGTCTAACGTCTCTACGTCTAGTTTAGCAAGCCTTAGAACAAACAAAGTCCGATCATCCTAGTAGGAATCATGAGTACATCTTGTCTTCTCCGGAACTAGTAACTGACCCCCGATCGTCGTACAGCGGTGAAGAGCTCCCTCACTTTTGTTGTGGGTTTATCAGCGTATCGGAACATCAAGTTGCAATATTCCCGGTGGTGGTCGGAAGCCTGTAGTGAAAGTCGAGGTGCTTCGATGGGCGATCCTAGGTCTACCAGCAGGGTACAAAGACCGTCCCATGCTCGTTTCCCGGCAACACCTGTTGAGTCCCCATCCATTGACGGTTTTGAAATGCTGAGAAGCTCTTTTCCAATCTTGTCTGCGTGCTTCTCGAAGAACCGATGGAGTACGATGACGTCGGTATCATCATAGATGTATTCACCCGCCCATTCATCTTTGTCGTCTTGAGCAGTGTGACCTTGCTTCAATTGAGTTAGTGCATGATGTATCGATGATAGCAACCGACATACAAGAATCACAGTCAGGAATCTGGTGATAAAGAAGATATGTTCTGTCAAAAAGTCATTCAAACGCGTCATATAAGCTTCCTTCCCAAAAAGAATATTGTTGGCGAGGTTTTGGATTATCTTGGCAATTATCATTAAACCTCGACGAGAGGAATCATTAGGTAGCTGTATGCCTATAGTTTCCGGGGCCACGACGGCAGGAGAAATAAACCTGAAACGGCAACAGTTAATGTATGTCAGGTCCTGTTATGAGTGCAAGGGTACCGTAAAAACAAGAAAGCACCAATGGACGTAGTCTTCAGGGAAACATCGTTCCATCGGTTTACTCTGTTACGTACGACAGTCAGCAGAGAAATATTATTGACGCATCCTCTTACGCAGTATTAGCAATGTGTTCACACACTTCTCGAAACATCCTGGGATAATGCGTCAGCCACGGGTGATCACTCCTGCCAACAACGTACGGTGGGAGTACGGGGCGCGAATCACAAATAAGTTCTAAAAATTGCTTTGTCAGAAATTGAACATTCTGCTGGTTCTGATGTGGGTCTTGGCTGCCGGCTTTCGAAGGATCAAGCTCGTATCCTGTACCTTCCGGAAGATTGTTGATGGACACAACCATGGGTTCAATTAGTGACCGCAAGTACTGATGCCCTTGGATACGAGCAAATGCAGCTAAAAAGCGGTTCCCAATAGAATTACTACGAAAAAGTGCAGCGACGTTCTCTGTATTTTATGAGCGCTGAATACGTCAGATGGGACATAAACACACCGGTCTGCGAAACTTCACGCGTAACCATCACCTTGAGCAGGGCCATCAAAGACGCCCGAGTGTTGAATAAATTGAGCAGCACGGTGATCATGTTATCGATTTCTGACGCGGGACATGTGTCGCATATAGCTTGAGCCAGCACCATCTACCAAAATTAATTATACACATCGCGTCAAAAGCCCCTGCACTCACATTAGGGTCCGTTACCAACTGAGAAAGGATCGTCAACCTTAAGCTAAGTACAGAATACATGGGCATACGTACATCGCATAAGCGCTTATAGCGATCTATTGTTTCGGCCGGTTCTGTAGCTTCGAACTTTGCGCCTTGACCAATCACCCGAGCAAAGACATGAGCAAATATGGCTCTTTTACGATTATCTTCGCAATAAGCTAGAGGCAGGCATTGCTTGAATCCGGTCTCTGTGTTAGCCCTGACTAAATGTGATAAGCCAGTGATAACCAACTCCCGAAGCTCGGCTTCTCTGTGTGATGCACGCATGCGCTTGACAGATATAAGGCTCTGATGGTACAGGTAAAAGGGAGATATACCTACTTTTTGTATGGACCCAACGTCGGAGACGCTATCAGATGTCTTGATAGTAGAGTGAGAGTATATACCAAAAGGAAGGGGTGAATACCGACCGGGACATCAATTTGACAAACCTCTAACCCAGACAGTAGCACATCCGAGTACTTGATGAACTCGCGAGTCACAAAATGCGACCCGTCATCTCCCGAGGCGGAAGGATCGGCAGGCTTGAACTCGAGACGGTCTAAGAGCTTGACAACTGTGCGTAAACATGCCATATTCAACTCTGTCCTCGACATGACATCTCCAGTGGTCTGAAATACGACAGTCAGAAAATGCACTTTGTATCATGACAGGAAGACTTCTCACCTGAATCCAAGAAGACACCATACTGAGAATACTTCGGCGCGCATTGTTGTCTTTGCGCAATGTCAGAGCTTCTGTACGGTCATTTACACTATCACAGAGGGTACAGAACTTGATCTTGATCCGGTGCGCATCTGAGCCATTGTGTCGATCGAGGCAGGCAGCTAATTCTTGTAAAGTTGTGGTGATGTCGAGATTTATCACGTCGTCCATTCGATCCTGGCTGCTTTCAACCATCAACTTGAGTATAGCGATACCCTACATACACCGTCAGAAGCATAAGAAGCTCAGAAAGTTGATGGACACACTTGCTCCTCCAGCAAACGGAAATTTTCAAACTGCAAATGACCGTCAAAAGAGTTATTCATTATGTCGCGAATGACGCTATGGAAGAAACAGGTGTCAATAAACGGCTATTCCAGCACACCAGCACGCACTCTTCGAGAAATTTCAGCAACTTAATGTACAGTCGTGGACTGAGCTCAGCCCCTAGGGCATCTCGAGCAGTATTTCGAACTTCAAGGTCGTCATCGAGCAACATCACCGTAAGATCGTTGACAAATATGTGTGCCAGGCTCGAAGCATCTTGAGCTCTGCGAAACTGATCCGGAAGACACTGATGTGGGATGACTTCAGAGAGCAAATCTGCACCAGGAGCTTCCTCAACGCAAGCCCCGCCAAGAGCAGCTATAAAAAGCGTGAGATTGTTCCAATGAGAGCGGTGATCCTAAATGGGGTCTCTTGAATAATGGTTAGATGAAAAGAAAAGGATCATTCTTACGGTAGCAGCTCCCAAAAATTCGCTCGATTTGATGGTAGCATCTTCGCCTGATCGCAACATTTCATTCAACGCGATCCAACGCCAGTAACACTCCGTCCAAACGGCAATGTGAACAGAAGGGGCGTAAGGTATCAAGCGTAAGAGTTTCCGGATTCTCTTCTGGTGGCCGACACGACCTGTGTTATGGTTAACAACGTTCACTGAAGTAGTTGTGCTTCCACTGACTATGAATGAGCACGTTTGGATCCCCCAATTGCTCATAGACAGGGTGCCGCTTTGGTCTGTCTTCGTCATTGATCAGAGGGTTGGCAGGTGCACCCGGTTGGCGCTCTGCGTAGGAAATCAGGCGGAGACCCTTGGCTGCTTGAAAGGATACATTGTTGTCGCTGGAGGTGAGAGAGACGAGGAAAGCAATTTCGGCCAATATAAAAGCTGGAACCCGCTTCTCAGTAAGCTGTATCTGCCGGACGTGATCCTCCTAAAGAAAAGTTGCTGTTAGAAGCAAACATGTTGTACAGTATGCGTGTCACGTACGTCCACTTTTGCGACATAAAGCCCCAAAAGATCGAGTGCCATCGATATCCACAGGCGTTGAGCTTCGACATCTATGCGAGCATCCAGCAGATTCTTGACAATAGCCACGAGGGTGTTAGGCCTACAGAAACGTCAAATCCGGCCTGTCACTCCATACGGCCCACGTACAGCGCGTATGTCAACCATGCAGTCATCTTGGGAACGTTGGGATCAGTTGGAAGATACACAAAAACATGCTCCGTCAGTTTCCTTGATGATGTGCCTAGAGACGCTTTGACAGAATGGTCGATTTGTGCATTCCAAAGTCTTGCAACGGCTGTCGTCCACGAATCAATTTCTTCTTCACTAAGGTACTTGAAACCGAAATCGGGAGACAATCGCCATAGCGAAAGTATAGCAAGGATGAGCATTTCTCTGTCGGGAAGAGGGGAAAGCTCATGAGTTCTTTTGGCCTTCGGACGACCAGCCGGTCTCTTCATGATGCCAAATTGATCCACCTCACTCCGGTGAACGCATGTGGTCTACAAGAGTAAGTGAACAATATACCAAGCGGTAATGACAATATCCTGCCTTCAGTATATTAAGGTACCGTCGTGCTATAATGGGTTCCAGATTCTTGAGAGACCGCTGCCAAATAAATATCGAACTCTAAAAAAAATTATTCTCGAGTCATGCCGAAGACATAAAAACAAGCGAACCTCTTCATACAGAGTTTTGCATGCACGTACGACGCAGATTTTCACTGCTTCCGACTTTTCAGGCTCAACACATTCTTTGAACAGCGGCAGGGACTCTTCTTCGGATAGAAATCGGAAAATAAACACCAAAACGTCAGCGTAAAGCGAAATGTCAAGAGATTCGTGTTGGGGGTCCCAAAAGGGTTTAGTCGTGGTATTGTGGAACAAATCGCTCTAGGAAACGTGTCAGCGCAAGGAGTTTCAGAAGTTCCGGGCCTACTACCTTGATTTCGTGAATAATGTCATACGCGAGTAAGCGCAGAGGCACTTCTTCATTTTCGCGTGGATCGATATACATTGCCGCACGGCAGATATCTAGTGCGCAGACCAGACCCAGTTCCCGTAACCTCGCTGGAGTGGATATTTGCCGCCGAATATCTTCCAGAAACTTGTCCGATTTCTGTCCACGACCAGGAAAGACATCATGAGACAGCCTGTCTGGAGTTAGGAAAAGGATAGCTATGAGAGCGGGCCACATCGTTCGTTCGGACCCGGACTTGACTCTTGGGTAAAGATAGTCAAATACTCTCTCCGGAACACTATCCATCTTCAGCCGTCCCTTGGAAACGTCATTAAACTCAGCAGGACAATTCCTTATCCAATTCCAGATGGCAAGCCGTAGAGGATTTGCAAAAGCGGCATGCATTTCGTGCGTCATGTTAACGAGAAGGGACGACAGTTCTGCACGAGTTGATGAGGTGGAAGTCAAGCTATAACAGAAAAGGGCGTACCATTCAAACCTTGCACTAGCCGTGTTCTATCGAGGAGACTATGCGATAATAATTGAATGTCGATGGTGTCGAATTCACCCTCGTTCTGAGAGAGTTGGCGAATCTTGGTCCGTAGTCGATCAAATACTACATTCCAATTCGATGCAGAAATATGGAAAATTATCCGGCCGGTATACTTTTCGATCAAGCCGTTTAAAGTGTGAAATGAGTTAACAGCAGACATGGGTGTTCGTTGCGTGACGACGCCTGTTCGGGTCGAGGTAAGAGACGTGATGCTCATCTTGCCAGACTTGACAGAGGTAGAGGATGTTCGTGGCTTGAGGTCATGAGAAAACGTGTGGGCATAATCAGTTGGAGAGTCAGTTCCTTCTGGCGAAAATGCTGAACTTGCGAGTTCGTAGTCACGGAACGTGATATCCGCTGAAGGAATCCAGTCCATCATCAAAGGCGGATCAGTTTGCGCAGACTGTCGTAGAAATGAGACCATCAAGATCAGTAGGTATCGGGCACAATTGTCTTCCATGGGTGGTTGCTCTAACGGAGAACTGACTGATGCCGTCCACCTTGATGCGAATGATGGAACAGGAGATTCTGGGGCATACCCCGGTGCTCGGTGACTAGCTTGGGATCCTGACCGTGGAGTATTGTGAGGCCTCGACGATACGCCTGCAGCCAGAGCCTTCATAATGAAAAGTTGTGATTGCAGAACTGGGATATTGAGGTCGGGCTTTTCAACTGTAAATAAAGATTCTCCTCTGAACACAACATGCCACGTACCTTCAAAAGTTCATCCAGCATCTCGCTCATCGCTAATGAAATCGTTTCCCAAGAGTCCTGAGATAACCTGACAAGGGCATTGACCGCCTGCCGCGTGGCTCCATCAGACTCCAGCTGGTGCAATGACTTTCCTGACCGAACGGGAAGCTGACAACGGAAATACTGTGAGCATTAGAATTCATACGCACAATCGACGAACACACCAGCAACCTCAGCCTCTGAGTAAGCACCTGCACGATCTTCTTCTGTTGCTCATTCCGAGGATGTTGAGAGCCTCCATAGTGTGAATCTTGGCTCCTGTGCACACGCGACGTGCTGGCGACAGAGGCGGATGAGGCAATCATACCTGCAGCAGAAGGCCGTCGACTCGGTGCCATGCCGGCCCACTCAGGGTGGAATGCGGTCGAGAGAAATCTGAGAAAGAGAACAGGAGCAAGAAGAGAGATGGCCTAGATGAGATTTTCTTTCTGTAGTATGTTTGCTTGAGAAACAAAGCCCTTGCACAACCATCCAAAATGGGACCAATAGAAGTGCAGTGACAAGTTTCGCGCTGATGTAAGCAGCCGGCGGTACTCTGACGCGGTCGCACATTGGTCCCACATTCTAACTTGGGTGTTACTCCTAGGCGCTTATCTAGCAGCGCTAGTCAATTGAATATTATATGTTCATTGCAGCAGTACCCCCTCTTAGGCGCGTCATTTGTTATTGAGATACTAGACCCCTCGAACTCCGAACTGATACTATCGATATCGATCTGGCTTTCCTTCTTGGGAATTCTACATGAGCGTTCCTCGACTGCGATCTACAATTTGAACTCCAAGTTAAATAAGGTTTGTTTGGGGCTGCAACGTGCAACGTTCATCGTTCAACCATCGTACTTACCTTACAGCGAAATACTTGTCTGTGTGGTCCTAAATGCATATTTTTATATCGACCCTGAGTAGGTAGACTTCAAGCATCACCCACTTCTGTGGTGCTTATGCAAACCCAAGCCCTATAAGTAGCTTGATTAACTTTCGGTACCGATGCGAGATCTACCCTGAGAAATTTAAAGACAGACAGGAAACCCTATGTTGAAATGGAAATCAGTGGATCAGATGAACCTTGTCCAAGGGGCCTGGCCGAGAAATACCGGTACCACCCTTTCATTACGGCCAGAGCTGCACGTGAAGACAACGCTAGTGTCAGTGGGGCCCAGAGCGCGAGCCCCTTGGACTTGTCCGTGAGAAGAGCAAACAATCGACTTGTAAGTGCGTATGAGCGCGTCGGATAAGAAGAGCGCCATCGTAGCACAGCAACAACAATTGTTCAGGACGCTGAAAAGTATTTCTTCCCGTTTCAGGTTTCTTTCCCCAGAATCGGGCTTAGCGATAAGTTAAAAAAGCACCGATATCGTGGTGAATGCTTCCTGCACCAGGAAAAGCGAATCCGGAAACAATGGTGTTTCAAAAGACAATATCTGACGAGTAGAGGCATCCTTGTCAGCTGTTAAGTCAACCTGTGAAACGAGAAGCGTAACTTTAACCAACAATAGGGACTACCGAGCAGGTTGCGCAGAAGTGACAACTTATAGGATATGAGACGATTAAGCGAATTTGCGTCGTTAGCTGTGATAACTTAGCTTTCCATGTTACCAAGAACATACCCCTTAGTCACAGGAATGACGCAGGACAATGAGGAGGGAGGAGTCACTGTGTCAAGAAGACGAGACGCGTCGCGTTGGTTCCATCTCACGTGTCAAATTTTCGAGTACCCTCAGTGGCGCGACAGGCGAATTTCAAGTCCGATGCCACTAGCGGGTAATGCTATGACTCCAGGAGAGGGTATGACGCAGAACAATGGCAAATTCGTCCTGACGAGTGATGCCGAGAAGTCCAGAGTTTTAGCCGAGATTATGCAGTTAGAGAGGCCGAATATCGGTGGTAGCCTGACATTTTTCGAACAAGCAGGCTCCTCGGAGGATGGCTGAGTGTTGGACGTGGAATGCCACGCAACATAGCGCTTAGAGGCAGGAACGCGCTTAATGGAAGATGCACAGCATTGGACCCACACAGATCAATATAAGTGCCGAAGTATGTAAGTTTGGAGAAGGGTGGGAAGTCCCCATTGATGAAACTTTGATGTCGCATAAGAGATTTCAAAGGAACATCTAAACATCCTGTCCCTTATACCAGAGTGCCATTGTACCCTATCTTGGGCTGAGGAAATGATGATGTTTGGATGTCTATCGCTGAGAGAGACACGGAGACACGGAGACACAGGGATATTTTGGTGACATTGGTGACATCCTTTTCGCAGATTCGTATCTTCTGTAGCCGGAAATCGAGAATCAGGGTGATGGGGAGCGTATTAGGAGCTCTTCGACCGGTTTCGGCAACTCCGCAATTGTTTTTCCCGACTCCGCAGAATTTCAAACGCAGCCTGCGCAAGGTATAAAGTGACCAGGAGCCCCTGGCGTGGTGCCCTTTCCGCCCCCCAGTTCCGACGCCCTTGGATTATTTGTGCGTCCCTTGCGCCGATTCGTCCATCGGCACGCATCCTACCTATCTCATTCCTTTCCCGTCTTTTTTCTAGTCGATAATCGTCGTTCCCGCATTGTTCATCGCTTGTTTCGCTCTTCCTTCCTCTCCTGATTATCCATTTGTCTATCTGGTCGTCGCATCTTCGTTTCAGTTAATTCCGCTCTTCAGTTATCTCACCAGAGAACAAAAACGTTACATCAATTTTCGTCTGCTCTCATATCATCGATATCCGCTTTTTGCATCATTTCATTTGTCTTCGACCATCGACCATCGACTAGCGCACTTTGATTTTCTTCCCGTTCATGTCGCGCATTGACTCGCATGAATACGATAGCCCTCCCGGCTTGGGGTTCATGCGCAATCCCGCTGAGAGGGAAGCCCTGAACGCACCCTATCGCGGCAGTACTCCAAAGCCTTCCTTTTCATCTGTGGACCGTAGGACATCGGAAACGCATACCAGCTACCCGTTATACGCAAGTACTGTGCCGAGGTCAATGGGTATGGATTGGGAGCCTTCATCTGCATGGGAAACATCTCGACCAAACACAAACAATGCTCAGACACAAGCCCCTACAAGTTCACCCTTCTCTCTCTTCAACCATCACCATCCCTCTTCCTCACCGTCGTCCTCGTCGTTGTTCTCGCTCAACGACCGCGTCGACAGAGATACCTTTCGTGCGACCCGTCATTCTCCTCCCGTACCCCTAGCGCAGCCCGCCGCGTCTAACACATCTCGCTCTACTCTTTGGTGGGGCGAACTAGAGCCTTGGATGGACGAAGAATACGCCAAGCAGGTCTGCTCACTAATGGGCTGGGATCCGGTAGGCATCAAGGTACCTCATCCAGCCCCTGACCCCGCCACCGGCCAGCAGGCCAACAATCCCGGCTACTGTTTCCTCACTTTTCCTACCCCTGCGCTCGCCGCTTCTGTGCTCTCTCAGATCAATTCCCCCAACGGCGGGTCCGCTCTCACCATGCCGAACTCGACAAAACCCTTCGTCCTCAACTGGGCGTCTTCCGTCCCTTCGACTACCCCAGTCACAGCCTCATTCTCTACTCCCAACATTCTTGCCTCCCCTCAGTATCCGAAGGAGTATAGCATATTCGTCGGAGATCTGGCCCCAGAGACATCCAACTCGGACCTTGTTGCCGTTTTCCGGAATCCAGTACTCGGTCTTCGTAGCGATCGAGAACCCAAGTTCATCCGTCCCTTCCTCAGCTGTAAGAGTGCCAAAATCATGCTGGATCCGGTTACCGGAGTCTCGCGGGGCTATGGCTTTGTGAGGTTCGTGCTCGAGGTGCTTACTTTTGAACATCTCCTCATCCAGTCAATAGATTTACCGACGAAAAGGACCAGCAGCGAGCTCTCATTGAGATGCATGGTCTATATTGTCTCTCACGACCAAGTGCGTGTCCTCTCTTTTTTTCATGCCGCTTATATTTACTCTATTATCAGTGAGAATATCGCCAGCGACTGCCAAGTTCAAGCCCCCTCCCATGATGCCTCCTCATGAACTTCCTCAAGTTAAATTTCCACCCACATCTGGTGTCGGTGGTCAAGAACAGGCTGGCGTCACCATCGCCGTGCCTCTACCCGCTCTGACTCATACGAAGAGCGTTTCTGCCCCTATTGCTGCGACTACCTCGAACTCTTCCCTTAACTCTGCTGGCTTGGGAACTTCCATGGAAGGCTCGAATTCTGGGACGACGCTTAGCCCAGGTACCGGGTCCAACGCAGGCATATCATCCACGTTCAGCGCCAATACTGCCGAGGACATGATGAATCTACCCGAGCATGTTCTAGCCCAAATTGCCCAACAGTATGCCAGCGGTGAACGGGAACCCCCCAAGACCAATGCGGTGTCTACTTCAATCACGTCTCAGTTTGCGCAAGATCGGGCTCAGAGGCCAGCGGATTCAAGCGGGCCTCGATATTTTTCGGAAGAGTCGTGGAAGCATCATGCACAGGCTCAGGCTATCCTTGGGAACCTCATAGGTCCCAACGGGGAGCAGCTTACATCAACTGACCCATACAACACGACGGTCTTTGTTGGAGGACTGTCGCCGCTCATCTCCGAGGATACTCTTAGGACGTTCTTCGCGCCGTTTGGTGACATCCATTATGTGAGTTTCTCCTCCTGCATGTAGGCGTTGCCTCAACTATTCTGTCTCAGGTCAAGGTTCCCGTTGGTAAACACTGCGGTTTTGTTCAGTTCGTTCGCAAATCAGATGCCGAACGAGCCATTGAGAAGATGCAAGGGTTTCCTGTGGGAGGCAGTCGGATTCGTTTGAGCTGGGGTCGCAGTCAATGTAAGCATCTCAATGCATTGTTCACTCAATTCAAGCCGCTTATGTATTCCATTATAGATAAAGCAGCCCAGGCTGCTGCTCAAGCGGCGCAGACCGCTGCATTACAAAGTCAGATGAGCTCCTTTATGAGCCCTCTTTCATCAGACCAGGCTGTTCATGTTCTCTCAAGGCTGGGATATCTCACCCCTCCAAAAGACAACGTTTCATTTTCGATAGAGGACAGGTTGCAATTCCTCGGTCTCCCTGGGGATATCCCGCATCCCTTTGACACGAATTATGCGCCGGCTGTCTTCGCAACCGATACCTCGCCTCCGGCAGTGCCACACTTCGCCCCGTTCTCACCCGAACCCAGTCTTTTTGCACCAGAGTTGAAGCGACGCGACTTGTACCCTCATAATGACATACATTCCTATTCGTCAAAAACCTTTGCGTCCGGGTTCTATCCCATGTCATCTGAGGACGCAAAAGGGCATGAAGCGGATACTGGGAGTGGGACTACAATAACAAAATCTTCTTCTGCGACTCGGTCTGGAGGCGGTACAAGGTACGGACCATTCTTGAGCAATTCTCCTCCTGCCAACCGAGCCCCTGGACGCCCTGAACGCCCTATCTCACGACCATCGTCGGGGCAAACGTCGGCGCGAGAGAATGTTGCACAGGAGTTGGATGCCATGTACGATCTGAATGGTACTTTGGCCAGCCTTGACTTAGATCGTGATCGACCTTGGAAGTCTCCCTCCGAGACTTCGGATAGCGGAGGATCAGTTCAGTTCCAATTAACGATGAACGGATCTCCCTAATGGCTGTCTCACCTTTTCTTCAGCATGTTTTCACGATTCGATTCACCACGAGCACATCTTTGTCCCACGTTTATTCCCAACGGATGTAACGTCCTCATCGCGACGCATATTTCTTATCTTATGGTTAGAGGTGTTTTGTTTTCATTGCTACGTCTATGTTTCGCTATCCGAATTCCTTATATTTTTGTTTCCTACTCTCTTGCGTACGAAAGCGAGACCCTTTTATACGCCACGCCCCAAGCTTTGCATTTTAATGGTGTTGCATTTTATTTATATATCATCTCTCTGTCTCTGTCTCTCTTCGCTATCAGACTCGAATTCGTTTTCACAAGTACATACACATCATCCATCCTAGCTCCTCGTACAGTCCTAACGTTTTGTTTTGTTGTCTCTGTATCGGAAATATCTCTGTCTTTATATAAACTCGCGCCTGTTTCCAGTAGCCATGGTAGTAATATAAATTCAATTCAACTCTGTTACTGGGTGGTGTGAAGAATTATGGCGATCTTTACGCAGTTGTACTTGTGTAACTAAATTTAGCTCGGCTGGGCGCGGCAACATCGGAGCCGAGCATTTTCTTGCATTTTTTGGCTTAGACGCGAAAGATGTCGACCGTCGGTGGATTTGTGCCGTTGCCCATCTCTTATTCCTCATCCGCGATACACTACATCTATGCCCGTGCACATGAAGGATCTAAAAAGGCTACCAAACAACTTTGGCCTGTAGGCCGCACGCTGTTTCTGGCAAATTTACCTCCAGATGTCACAGAGCGAGAGCTCTCGCTATTCTTCAAGCCTCATGGAACGGTAGAGAGGTCGGCTTTCTCAGAGGATGCCTTAGAGAAAGAGGCATTAGAGGAAAGCGATGTCGACAGTGAAAGTGATGAAGAGGGAGACATGGAGGCGGAAGGAGCGAGTGCAGAAGGAGAGGCTACCCAGCCGAAGAAACGACGGCGACTCAACAAACCCAAGCCTCCCCAGCCCCCTCAGGTCATCCCGCTTCCTCTGAAACCCCTTCGGACCCTGCGGCACACAGGTCAAACAGCCCATGTCGTCTTTCTCGACTCTTCCTCACTGGAACGCGCGCTCGTACCACCGACGAAGCCCCGACCCTGGCCGACGTCGGACGAACCGTCGGGATTGGCTCATTATCTGACCTTGTATGACTCTCTGCGGCCTCCACTCGATGCTGTGCGTGCGTATGCGGACTCGGCAATGGAGCTGTACGAGTTCGAGGTGGCTAAAGCGAAGCAGAAATCAAAATACCGCAAGGGGGAAGCTATCGTCGACGAGGATGGGTTCACCCTTGTTACCAGGGGCGGAGCGTACGGTCAGACCGTGGGTGGCGGTGTTGCTGTGGCGAGTAAGAAGTTCCAGCGGACCGGCGAGACGAGCAGTAGGAATCGAAAGAAGAAGGAGAGCAAGGAGAAGACTGAGTTTTATGCGTTCCAGAAAGCTGAAAAGCAGCGGAATGGTATGTGTAATTTTTCTGTGTTCATTTGTATATTTTTTTTTCCCTATGCGTCTCTTTTCAGACTTGATGAAACTCAAGCAGAACTGGGAAGAGACGAAAGCAAAGGTGGAGAAGCTGAAAGCGTCCCGGCGTTTCAAGCCTTACTAGGCTTCTTGTACGAGTGGTGTGTCTATTAAACCAGGTATATACGCACCACTTTACTCACGTTTGTTTTCATAGGTACTGGAAGCGTTGACGATTCTTGCAATGAAAGATTCAACTCATCTAATCTGCCGAGCATAAATCGATTTGGATATATTCTATGCGAGCGAAGCGACTCTGTGCATGGTTCGATACATATAGTAGATGGTATGGTGGTAGCCCGACATCCATGGACAGTGGACACAGGCCACTTTGGAATGATATATTAATGCTAGAATTGAGACCGAGTACTCAGTGCGCATTGCCAGAAGCTAGAACCCAGGAAGTAGTAACCCTACAAACCGCCCATAACAATAATGATGGGTTCAACCTCTACTTGAAGTTAGAACTGAGTACCAAATAGGATTACCCACAAAACTGATACACCGGGGTTTCGGTCCGGTAAGGTACCAGTTAGTTTACTGGAAATACGACTACAAGGAAGGGACTAACTAAGGTTTTGATTCAACTAGGTTAATTACTTGTAAGTTACTTCTCCTCACTGGAGGGATTTTCGCCGAGCCTCTGCTGCTTGCTCGAGGAATGGGATATAACTGGCTATAATGAGGGCCTTGAAACCACCCTCAATTTGATTGCAACATGTGAATGGCTATGTAGAAATACAAGGAAGAGGCGGGAGGGTGACAGAAAAAATTGCTAGTGACTTGTATAATAATAGCACAGTAATACTAGAAGAGATTTGGTTAGATGTGGTGAGGCCAGAGACTATTTGAATGAGCCTTTGTAAGATGAGAGAAGAAGCAAAGCCTCACCAGGCAACAGAGATTACTGACAACAAAGAGAAGAAGTGGAGCCTTGATGCCTGGGATTAGCAGTTAGGATTGAATGACAGTGAGAGAGCAGAGCTCATCTCACCTAGGGATGCAGGATGAAGGTGAGAAGAAAGAAGAGACACCAGAGCTGTTGTCTCTCATGAATCAGCATTAGCCAAGGATTGGCACTGAGACTGAGACAGCACCAGCAGCCGTTTATGTATGGCCTACGTACCTTGGAATTAGGACCTCGTTTTCCTAAATTTTGTGTCGACGTTGTTAAGACCCTTTTGGGGGGAAGACATCAAAAACGAGACAAAGATTTCCTACAGAGTGAATAGCAACATTACAAGTTGAGGGATACCGAATTCTTATCGTACACTTTCATAGCCAAGATCGTAAATCAGACTTCTAACCAAAGCAGTTCCTCCAAAATGGGTACAACCCGTCCTAATCTAACAACGCCTGTGTCTGAGGAGAACGCGCCTTGATCGTGCATTTGAAAGGAACGGGAAAGCTACACGTAGAATTAAAAAATACGGCACCGAACATCCAATACGGAAGCCTTACCTCAAAGAAGCGCTCGTAAAGGTTTCGCTTGGTTCAACAACTCGACCTTCAGAATCCACGGCCTTCGTGAATGACAAAGTCGAAACCATGGACGCGATAGCAATCCAGGCAGTGTTCAAAGCGATATAACGGCCAGGACAGATGCTGGAAGAATACCGTCAAGAGTGGTCGACATAGATACATCACACAACGCTTACCGTCTTCCAAAACCAAACGCCACTGTGGGTTCAGGTT